TCCTCTTGGCTGTCTTGAACACAAGCTGGGAGTCTGTTCTTGGTGCGTGCACTGGCACCAATGTGTCACATGTATGCAAAAGTTGCGTTTGGCCATTATGTCAGCTCACTCGGAGAAATGGAAAAATAACTTTTGTTTATTTTTTATTTTTCCTTTTTCATGTCAGGCCGCAGTAGATTTCTGGGTGCAGAGGGGTGGGGGGTTGTGAAACCGATGTAGGTTACAGAACAATGTACTAACAGTGAGCAGGCACGTCGACTTCCCCTTAAACTCACAAAAGGCCTCTCAGGCAGACGGGGTGAAAAAACATGCGAGTCTGACGTATATAATCTTATCTCCTGCGTTACCACGGCGGCTCTGATGTCTCTGCCGGAGAAGCTGAATGGAAACCGATGTGGGGGCGGGGGGGGGGGGGGGTATAAAATGCGTATCTAACACGATAACGGAACACAAAAAGGCAAAAGCTGTAATTGGGGGGCGGACTGCTCCTGAGGGTCATTAGCACTATCTTTATGTAAAAAGGCTCTGACCGGAGCCCGATACACAGCGGCTGGATCCTCAAATTACTCCTGGCCGGTCCAGACTGCAGTGGCTGTTTACATCTTGGAAGTCCCAGATAAAGAACGCCATCGAAACTCTCTCACTTCTCCCCCTTTATCTATGGAGTTATTACGATTTGCTTATCAACTTCCTGCTCCACTCGCTCACAGCCGCCACATTATTTCTCAAAATCCGCCGGGCCGCCGCTGGCCTGCACCCTGCATCGCACCCAAACAAGTTGCTTTTTCGGACGCCTTTGCAGACGCTCCCACGCAGGTTTGTGCTTCATGCATGGCTGACCTGACAAAGCCGCAGATGTCTGCTCGATTTGGTTTTACGGCATTTCCCGGCCTTTTCATTGTTTTTTGGTTTTTTTTAAAATGCAAATGCTGATTCTGTCCTGCTCCTCTTTTTTTTTTTTTTTACCAAAGAACAACTGCTTTGGACCAGTCTGAGCTCACACTTCCCCAAATAACTAAGAAAACAGTGCCCACACAAAGACCTGGTTCTGTTTCCTGTAGATGGACAAACCCCAAAAGATATTGTGAGAAATAGTGTGATTAAGCAGACCAGTAGAAATGAAGGAAGAGAAATCTTCTACGAAAAGCACTCAGATTTAACCATGGCCACAATGCCACAAAGAAGTGCTTTAAAAGTATTCTGTTCGTCTGAAGGGGGAAAAAAGGCATATTATCTTAAACTGGGCCATGGCTCTGAGGTATGACGGGACCAAAGGCAGAGAAACGGCCTGGCAACACCTGACTGTCCGGTAAATTCTTACCAGAATTGGAGTGGGCACCTCAGACCAGGAGAGGGGTCAGTGAAGCATTAAGAGAAGGCCCAGACGCAGGCAGGAGACATTCTGATGACAACTGAATTACCAAATCCCCAGCATCACTTCTTACCTCAGGATAAAAACCGGCAAACAATAGCATTGAGCAACCTGAGCAAACTTAGGTGCCGCTCTTTCAGCCGGCTCAGCTTCCCGATATGCTTTTGCTCATCAGCACAGAAAATTGAGGGGGGGGGGGGTGGACCACTGTCCATCCGGCTGCTATCTGATTACTTCAGTCAATTCCTGAATGAGTCAGCAGAAAATCCCCCTCAATTAAAGTGGAAGAGCCATTTCTGTGCATGTGGGTCCATGAGCCACGCTCCTCTTGTGCCTGAAAACAAGCCCTAAAACATAGAGGGGCTTTTGTTCCCTGAAGCAATAACCGATTAATGATTCTCCTATCTGTGCCTTCCTTTTCCTTTGCTTTCCCCTCAAAAACACAAGAGGGTTTTAGCAAAGCCTGACGTATCAGATTTGATCCACAGGGTTATGAACGGAATGTTTGCCCGAAAGTCTCATTCCCAATTTGAATGCTTTTTTGAATACATAACAATCTGTGTATGTATTCACACACGTGTGTATACATATATATATATATATATATATATGCAGATTGCTTCTCTTTTTGCCTCAGTTTGTCCCCAAACACTCAATCCGAGTAGCTAAAGCTTCCCTCCCTGTTAATCAGCCGTAAGATTTGCGTGCACATGCTTACATTTTTTCCAAAAATATACGTGTTTAAAAATATCAAAATGGGCATGGCTGCCCTGTGAACAGATGTCAGAGTGCAGATACAACCAATTTCAAGTCGTCGTGTAGTCTGCAGTGGTTCAATGAGCAGCGGCGGAGGGAGCGAGAGTATAAGCTTTGAAAGCATGGTTGACCTCAGCTGCTTTCAAAGAGGATAAAAAAGCTTAGATACACAGATATTTTTTGTTTTTTTTTAAAAAGGGCTTAAAAGTTGGAGATACTGTATCTGTCTGGTTAAAAGAGGAAAGGCAGATCGACATTTCTGACCTCTCTCGTCAAAGCCATTGTTCAACTTCCACCCCTTGTCTCATGAGTTAAAACTTAGAGCTGGCTCGCAGCGTTCTGAGGTGACAGCCACGGCAAACAAAAGATAATCATTCCATCTCACTTTGGATACCTGGGTATTACAGAACACACACACAAAAAGGTCTTTGTGTGAGATGGGATAGCTGAAGTCACCGGGGTTAATACGCTGCGTGGGAGTCGCTGAGGGTTTGTACAATGAGAAGGGACATTATGATTATACTTTGCGGGATTTGGCAGCGTTTCAATTAATTTTATGCGTTGAAGATCTTAAGGTTTGACACCCATTCAGTGATCGTCTGAATTCATGAAAGAACTGGTTACCGAAACGTTTAAATGCAGGTAAAACCGCTCTTGTGCTCACAAGATTGTGAATTATCCAACAATAAAGTTATCCGTATGTTACATGTCCACTAAGTTAGAATAAGATGCTTTTCTTTGATGCCAGCAGCAACAGAGGAGGGCATACTACACAGTCATTATTTCACCTATTACATAATCCATAGACTACAGTCACGGGCCAGTACTGCTTGTTTCCTGGCAACTTCATTGCTTGCCGATGAATGAAAAGAACAAGCGAGGGACCCAACAGTAAAACGCACACAAGATCGGGATTTCATTGAAAACCGAGAAGAGTCGGTGAACGTGATGGCTGCTTCAGAGTGCAGCTTCATGAGCACTTAAAGGATTTCTCCTCAGCAGTGGGCAAAAAAAAGTCTACATGTGTGGCTGACAGGCATGTTTTACACACATGTTGCTATTTAAATTTTTTTTAAATCATCTCTTCTTACTTGGCTGGATGTATACCCCACTGCTGTGGAAGCAAATAAGAAAAAAGCAGCTAATCATTCATGTAGATTTGATGTCACTGTGACATTAGGGAAGCAATCTTACAGTTTTAAATAACCTAAAAGGGAACCACATAACATCTAACAGCTTCCAAACGCTGATGTGAAGCGAGCCATGCACACACTGTGGATCCAAGAGCAAACACGTCTGTTTATGAGGAGCCATCTGAAAAGGTCTCCAGAACATGAGGCAGCAGCAGAGCTGCTTCTCACCCCCAGCAGCCCCGGCCGCTGCCACTGGAAACCCGGACATGTGGAGAAAAGAGCCAACTTCTGACCAGGACAGAAAACGGACTGGATGCTGCTGTGGAGTTTGGTTTACAACAGCTCTAATAGCGTGTGTGTGTGTGTGTGCTGGGGCAAAGCAGCGGTGCACTCACGCCCTGGTCTTGGGAAAGCCCATGGACAGCAGCACGTCCAGAGTGGACCCATGTTTGATGGTGTTCGGTCGGCTCTGGCGCTGCCTCCGCGGTGTCACTTTGGCATACAGTTCCTCTTTCGCTGCCATAACTCACTGCTCCATCGGTATGTCAGCTCCACGGCTCCCTTGATGTCTTGTAACGTATCAAGAGAATAAAAGTAATTTTTTTTTTTTTTTAAAGGAAGGATGGAGGCGGAAAGCTATTTAAACAGAGGCGACTTTGAGCAGGCGGAAGCGCGTAGAAATAATGAAACCCTGCGAGGAAGGAAGCATGTTTTGGGTCTGAGCTGGATAGGGCTGCGTCCTGCTCCTAGCGGCTCGCTCATGAAGTCAAAACCATCAGCAGAGGGCTCAGCCATTAGAAGTCACATCCACTCCCTCCGCCGTGTCCCCGACAGAGGTGAACATATCTGGTTCCTGCCTGCCCCTCACATCCGGTTAAGTGGATAAAGTGTCAGATTCGACCGAAGCGGGTTCCTCCCTGGACAACGTCTTGTTTATGAATGGACTCGGGCTGAACGGCGGTTTTCAGCAGCCTCTGAAAGGTTGCGGCTCCAACTGCGCGCGCGACCCTCTGGATTTAAAGGGACAGTACGTTATTTGTGAGAGGACAGGAAGTCTGGTCGGCCTTTAAACCGAACATGTGTGAATCCGAAACTAACACATACTCCTGTCGGTGAGACATGCTGCAATAACCCATGGGAAATTAATTATTCATCTGACTGCGTCAGCTTGATGAAAAGTACCCCGGTAGGGTTGGCTGGTGGAAAAAGTTGATCGCTTCCTGTATGAGAGGGTGTCATTCCCGCATGCGCAGTGCAGTGTGAGGAGAGCAGCACGCCATCATCAGTTGCCATAGCAGCCAAACGATTTTTATCATATAGAGCGATAGATATGAAAATGTTATACAAGAACGTGTTTTAACTCTGAATCTCATTCAATTAGCTATATGTCTTTTGACACAAGTTATATTTGCTCGGTGATGGTTAAAACAATTGTATATATACTTTTATTTAATTGATTCAGCCACTTAAGTTTACCAATCAAGTTATTAAAAAATAAAAGTTTAAACCATCAATTCTTAAAGCTTATGGAAATTTTTGGTGGCCAATTGTATACCATATTTTCTTTTTGTATTATTTGTTAGAAGATGCCTCCATACAGTGTGAACATAAGAAAAGTACTGTATTTGAGTTGAAATGTTGGTGATAAACCCCATGTATATGCAAGCATAGCAAAAATGTGAAAAAAAAGTTCATTATTCAAGAAGTAGACTGTTTACAAGAGCTTTGTTAGTGCGTTGTTCAGCAATAAACTTCATTTTCTGACATTCTGTGCACAAGCTAACTGCACTAGCTAAGTTGGTTTCACTCACACTTTGCCCATCTGAACAGCGGAAATTGCACTGCACAACCCTTTATAAAAAAATCAAACTGCTAAATGTCCAAACATCACTGAGACAAAAATCAATTTAAAAAACACTTTATTAAAACTATAGCAGTTAGACTCCTTGACTCTAAAAGTTTCTTGAAAAAGATCAAGTAAAAATCACATTATCCCACTTAGAGAATCTGATAATTTCTACATTATGTGGATGAATAAAATACAATTACATGAGAGAGGTAAAAGCTATCCCATATAACTCATCTGGAAGTTTTTTGCACAGACATTACCTGATCAAATGTCCTTTTGATACTAGGTGATATGGAAATCAAAAAGAAGATTCAGCTTAAATGAATGTCTAAGATGAATTTTTTTCCTGAATATCCAATATCACGTGCAAAAAAATGAACTTATCAAATTCCAAACAGGAAAAACTCACTTATTTACAAACAACATTATCTCCATGAATTTGAATTTAAAAAATGTTGTTTTACACAGTTCTACAAAAACAAACAATACAGAAAAAAAACACAAAGTCTCCTGACAATGAACCAAGATGTTGTGGCTCCATTGAAGTTTCAGCTAAGCCACCAAGGCCAACTGAAACAGTTTAACAAGCAGAATTTAAAGAAAAGGGTCAGTAACTTTATTTACAGCTGATAATTACTCATAAAAGAACAGAGTTTTTGCATGGCTAGATGAGTTCTACCCAAGCAGAATGTGTTCTTTCATGTGAGACCCATGTTTACTTTTTTTTTTAAAGAAGAAAATTATAGCAGACAAATCGATCTGATTGGACACAGGACGGTAGCAATCATATCTGGATCTGGAGACAGATGCATCAAACAAAACTGCACACAGAAAAAAAAAGTTCGGACACACCAAAAAAGCTGTTTTTGTCGCATGGCGCTTACACCACAAAGGATGACTTCTGTTTGAAATCCCCCTAAGGAACAAACAGGAAAGAAATCATAACAAATTTTAATTTTTCATCTTTTTATGTATCCACATAGAGGATACTACATAAGACCAAATATATATATTTAGTTAGGAAAAATCTCAAGCTGCAAATATATTTAAGTATATAAAAAAAGGGGCTTACATCGTCTTCCTCGTCACCAGCATAGGATGAAGGAGGCTGGTAGACTGCAGTGGACCTCGGTTTGCTGCAGGTACAAACAAGACTGATAAATGAGGTGGAAAAAAAAATAAAAAATACTGAGATGGTAATCTCAACATGTAATAATCAGAGCAACAAGGGAGATCGGAATTTTAAATTCAGAGAAAGAAATCCATAACAAAGTCATCAACTTCGATAATCAGGGTGTTTTTTAAGTTCTAACTTCGTAACTTAAAAAAAAACTGAATTTCCACACAGAATTAGTAGGACAGGAAATGAAACATTCTACACCGCTTCTTTTGGCAAGATTTAATCAACTCCCACCACACCAAGAGTGAACAGGAAACCTCTCTTTTAAACCCCAAACAGTAAAAAACACAGTTGCATGATACATTCATTTACATTTTAAAACTAAGCAACATCATCCTTCCTCACAGTCCAGGTACTCGTAGCACAATAAGCGAAAATAATAGCATAACCAAAGAGAAATTTGTATTTTAGTATATTCCTGAATATGTCACTCTTTATCACCATTGGCTGCAGGTAAATACTCTGTGATGTACTTTGCCTTGCAAATGTTTATCAAATTAGCTTTATTTTTCTTATAGGAGAACTAAAGAAAATCATTATCTTTAAAAGCATAAAAGCATTAACTGGTTCTGACACAGGAGAGAAGTATAAAAATGTTCTTACCTTTCACTCTTTTCTGTAATTGAAAGAAAGGAAATAATGTCAGCAGAGTCAAACTAATGATACAAAACACAATATACAACATACCTTATTGGCATAATGTATTTTTAATGTATCTCGCATGGGCGCATGGGAACCCTTTTTAAGTTGTTAATGTGCATATTCAGATTAAGTTTCTCTTTTCCATCTTCATGCTAAGAAGACAACAGCCTGTGAACATTGAAAATCACAGGAAATACTATCTATATGATGTGGGTAAAAAAAAAAAAAATGTTTAAACTTACGGGGCAAATATCCTTTCTTCTTGGCGTACCAAACACCAAATATCAGTAGTGCCACAAGCAGGAGAGCTATTATTACCCCAGCCACAATTCCTCCAGTGTTTACATTACCTTGAAGAAACAGATAATAAGTGTCTTTAGATCAATTCCACTTTGAGCCACCTAGAGCCACTTCTCCAGCTCAGACTAACTACAGACATGAGATGGACACTTACGAATTTCCATTCTCACAGCTTTGCAGCGCTGTGACGGGCCAGCGTCGTTGACAGCCTCACAGTAGTACTCCCCAGTGTCCATCGTATTAGCAGACTTAAATTCCTGTAGCCAAATAGAATATTTTCACTTTTGTGGCAATGAAGACGAACGACTGGAATAAAATCACCGTGCACATGATGCCATGGGATGAAATATATCTGACCAGATTTCCTGTTTTTGGATCAAGCTTATAGGTGGCATTCTTGAACTGAGGCATCTTGCTTGGGTCATCCGGCAGCAGGGTGCCATCCTTGTACCATTTGTAGACGGGAGGGGGGGAAGCATCGCCATCAAAGCAGGTGAGCATGGTTGACTTTCCCGTTGTCACTGAGTGAGGGATCTTACACAAGGGTACAGATGGGGGCACTGTGGGGCACGATCATACAGAGCATGAATAAAACAAAAAGCCTTTGGAGAGTTAGTAATTTTTCTATTGGTGGATAATTAATCTAAATTAGTGGTTTTAAAGCATGCTTAAAAACTAAAAAGTTTCTTACCCAGAACAGTGAGCTGCACTGTAGCTTCTGCAAATTGGCTTTTGGAGCTAGACACCTCACAGGTGTACTCCCCGGTATCCTCCCGAGTCACTTTGGTGAATCTCAAATTACTGCCACCATACAATGTTGCACGGCTCTTATATGCCTCTGTGGGAGAAATGTGTAATTATAGAGCTGAGCTGAGCGCATTATGCACAAACTGTTTGTACCAAAGCAAAACAGTCCACTCAATTTGTCCTTTCAGAACAGAACATTTTGACCTTTACAAATTTGCCACCACCATCATATATTGTGGGACTGCTTGTAGCTGATGTTTTTCTTTACCAAAGTTTACTTGTCAATTTATTGAGAAGGTAACTACATAGACACATCCATAACACAGACAAGTAAAGCTGACAGACACAGCCATAACACACAAAACTAGAACTGAAAAGAAATAAATATCTAGGAGAATCGCTTGAGAATGGTAGAGCCGTGTAGAATGGTTTAATAAAGGGTTCTTAACAGTTCTGTATCTCATTTCCAAGAGATACTACATTCAAGTTAAGTCTTTTTGTACAAGGAAAAGAAGAAGAATCTACTTACCCGTCAATTGTCCATCAAACACCACTAATATCTGTGAGTGTTTCTTGTCCTTAAATTTCCATTCAAGTCTGGCATCTGAACCAAAGTCTGCTGAATATGAGCACGACATGTCCACCCCTGAAATAACAGGTCACACAGTCTGTTACAGATATGGTGAAACAGCTTCCCTATGATTTTCAGAATTTAATTAACTTCAGTTACTACTTCTTGTTCTTAGGGGGATCAAGACTGCACACAGTAAAATTGGCATGGCTGCCACCAATGTGTGGGTGTGTTTCTGAAACAAGTCTGCCATAAAAGCATCCTGAAACTACTAAAGTGTTAAATAAGCCAAAAGATAACAGGAAATTATTTTTACATGACCAACTTTAAACACCTCTAAATCAGAGTAAAGTAGCCTTTACTCATCTAATGTACATGTTCAATTAGAAAATCAGTCTAAGCAGAAAATAATTTCTGATGTCTTGTAAATTTACTGAGCTGCGCATGTACCCTCAAACTCAAACAATTATTGACGGAATAAATACACTGTAAAGATGTCCTATTTAACAAAACGAAACCCATGTTTCATTACCCATTAAAGGATTATTTATTCTATCTATAGCTTTTTAGCTCAAACTTGATTTAAAAGTGTCAGAAGATACTTCACCAAGATACTTTACCAATATCTTTCAGAACTTACCGGCATTCTCTTTAATGCGCAAATTTGGAGTGTTAGTATTGACCGTAAAGCTGCTTACACCTAGACAAACACACAAAAAACATCATCAAGATTCAACAGGCACAAAAGAAGAAACACAGATGGACTTACTCAATGTGCTCTGGAGAGCCGGGTCAAAATTGTCATTTTCTGCTGAAGTCATCATACTAAAAACATTTGTTAAAATAACTGAAATAAAATGACAATGACTTGTTAAATACCAAATTAAAATCATGTCTTGCATACTATGGGTGGGCAAACTGTGATCCTGCCAGCATGTGGGATTAGTTGTACATGACGTGATTGACTGATTGTTTGAAAGAATGATAATAAGACATAGTAAAGCAATCACATTTTCAAACTGACATTCTGACACAGATCAGATAACCACACCCCGCGTCTGAACACTGAGCATGCTCACAAGCTATCAGAGAGGAGCATTAAAACAACAGTGTCTCATTCCTGTGGGGTGGAGTCAGGAAGCTCCAGTGAAACTGCAGGCAGCTTGGGTGAAACTGCGTCCACTCAGGCTGAGCTAAACTTCTTCACTGCATACATTTTGAGTTACATTTCACAGCTGCCACTGTTTGAGTTTCTGTAGTTTCACAATAGGCCTTCACTTTGTCTGTAAAATAAATGTAATGCTCAAAAACCACGGCCACAGACAGCACAAGTGGACAAAGTGAGGGCTGGGTCATTGAGGTTGCCACTAAATAACAAAAGAAGTCCAGCAAAACACACTTTGTATTTACATTTTAATGTGGACACTTTGATGACTGACTTATTGGAAACTGTAGGCATTTCTGACAGGCAGGTTAAGCTAAGATAACAGTCCCAGTTTTGTTTGGTAGAAACTAAGATAAGCCTCCAAATGGAACATTTTACAAGAGCTTCCTTGTTAGCATAATACTGAGTTTTAGTGTGCAAATAGCAAGACCATGATTTTGTACAGGAAATAACCCGGACATAAAGCGAGGCTACTCCATGCAACATGGTTAAGGAATATTTTGTTAAAAATTGGTGGTAGAATGATTCTTACTGTAGCATGGATTTTTGTACTACAGCATGGATTTTTTATACACAAATCCCTGCCAAACACCAAACACTGCGAAGCAAAACTAAGATACCATGCACATTAAATCTCAAATGAAGACAATGAAAACTAAAAGTAGATAAAGACAAAGGTTTAATTGAGAGAGATAAATAAGTATCTGAAACAAACTTTTTCTAATTGGATTTCACTTCCATAATGAGTATTTCTGGAACTTCTGACAAATGCCACACGAACTCTATCATTTATTACATTTTTTACGTAAAGGTGGAGTTTGTTTTGAGAATAGTTGCATATTTCTATAGTGGCTGCATGGTCGTGAAGTCTAATTAGAATTTAAAGTAGAACATATAACTAACTAAAGAGAAACCTAAATATTTAGAATACTAAAAGTGGCAGGCTTGTGGGTTTAGGTGCACCACACTGAATCCGCCTAGGTACTACTTTTTCTCCTTTTCACCAACTTCCCTGGCACGGAAATAGAACAAACAAAGAGCAGGCCAATACCTGAAACTCGAAATAAAGTCACTGCGGTTGGGCTAGTATGGGCAACACCTGCCATTTTAAATGTTAAAATGTTAAGTATTAGACGTATAAAAGGGTCAAACGGAGGCGTTTATAGAAGAAGGCCGCCGTCACTCACCTGTTGCGGCGGAAAAGAACAACAGCGCCGAAACGAACCCCCTCATGTCGAGTGTCCTCTCTTGGCTTGTTACACACAGTAATTCCTTTTAAAACTTTGATTATAAAAATAAAACGAGTTTAAAGAGTGCTCCTTTCGTCGAAAAAAACAACTTAACTCCGCTATTTTCTTCACTCTGTCGAAGTCTTCCGCACAGACAAGCCTCCACTCTCACCTGTGAACCGCAACCAGGTGTCAACATGTAAGGTTCCTCCCGGAAACTGGCTCCTCTCGGGTGCCGTCGCGATGACAGAGCGGAAAAACAGGTCTGTCTTCGAGAAAACTATCAAGATGATACAGTTGCATGAAGTGAGACTGCTGACGTTGCAGAGAGTCGATTGTTAAGCGGCCCAAAGTCTCTTTCACTGGTCTCCCTGTTTCATGAGTGATCCCAGACTTTGTTATGTTTGTGTGTTCAATGGGTTTAGCTTCCTTCCTCACTATTGGCATGAATTGTTCCACTCTCGTCAGAAATTAGGAAGCATCTTGAATCAGAAATGCACAGTTATATGACATTCAAAAAAATCCCTCCAAAAAGCTGTAAAAACTTTTGCGTCAACCGTGGTTACACAAGAAAAGTAAACATTTACTTTTGTTTCCCTGTCTTCAGCATTACAAAACGATGGCCACTGCCTGTGGTTGTAGAATTTTGCCACTAAGTTAAATGCTGATTGAGCTGAATAACCTAGGATATTTTGCAGATCATAGAAAAATAAATTCATATTATATTCTGTAGTTTTTAGTAAGTCAACAGATACTTTTGGCAAAAGAACAGACTGATGTGCACAAGCAGATGTTCTGCAGCTAAACTTTGTCGTTCTCTCAACTTTAAAGTCATCAATTCACTTTGTGACCTTTTAAAATTTTGTGAGTTTTGAGTCGAGTCCACTTTAACAGTGCGTTCTGTTCCAGCAACTCTAAAGTTCATGCAGACACAGGATAGAATGAATAGTTACCGTGACGTTTAATTATGAAAAGTCTTCTTTTTGTGTTTTACAAGAGTTTATTGTTTTTATTCAGTACTTTGTACAATCAGTGCATTTATATGATTGTGCTTTTGTTACACATCGCCTATTCAGTTATATTCATAAGAACAAATCCTTTACTTTGCACCATAAAAAAGCATATTCAGTGTTAATTTCTGAGTACAGTACCAGTAACCAAACTCATAACTTCAAAGGGTACATTGTACAAGCCTCGGCCCTTTATAAGTGTTCCAGGTGCAAATGACACATAATAAATAACTGAGATCTGTTTTTCATTATTACCAAAGAAAGCAGAGACATTAATGCTCATGCGTGTGTTTTTGCCCTGTCAAAAAGTTTTTCTAAAAGTTTGAATTCACATTCTGTCTGCCATCGTTGTAACAGTGTCAATTTCTCATTGACGAAAGCAATACGCGCTTCCATTAGTGGACCTGTGTGGTCCAAGGTCACCACCATCTGCCCTCATTATCTGACAGGCTGCCAAGAGGAGACACGGGGGACAGATTTCAGTCAGGCAAAGTAGATTGCTTACCTTAAAGAGGGATGAAGCTCAGCAATAATTCACACTGCAGAGTGCAATGTTGCATAATTTTGAGCTGGAAAAGTTTAAATTGTTATATGGCATAGCAAAAGCACTTTTCGGCCCCTCCTCAGAATCTCTCTTAGATTCCTCATAGATATAGATAGATATATTATCTTGTTAACAAGGCTGGAGGTGAAAGCTTAGCATTGTTCACTGCATTGGCTACAGCTGCTAAAATTGATTGTGCATATTAAATATAACAGAGTAAAGAGTCTGAGGTTTAGATCTAAGTCACATTCATGCTTTCTACCTGTGAGGAAAGCTGTTGGGAATTGATTTGGTCCCAACGGATTTGTACTACTCACTTAGACGGCTGCATATATGTGAGAGTACCGGTAGAGACTATGCGGCGGTACCTGTGCTTGTTGAGTGCATAATGCAGAGAGTGCAGCCCTGTGTCATACCAAGGAGATATTATACATACATTCGGTTCGACTTTTTGCACCTTGTGCATACACACAACTTGAGGGAGTCTTGTGTCTGTGTCCGTATGTCTGTTGAAACAGAGTTAGCGTGTGCGGCTGTACGTCGCCCGTTTCACAGCCAGAGAACATCCACCAGCACAGGAAGTGTCACCAGTGTCAGCAGGAGGCCGCCGCAGCTTTGTAACAGGACACTCCACGCCGAGCAGGGGAGGAGGAGCTCTGCAATTAGAAAAAGAATCCACATTCAGAGGGGCGGATGTTGTCGATTTGCATGAGAAATGGCAGGAAGTGCACCCGCTGCGGCGCACAATGGCCGCGAGGACGTCGGGCTTACTCTTCTCGACCACGGAGGTTTTGGTGGCCGTGGCCGAGTCGGGCAGCTTGATGTTGCAGGTGAAGTTGGACTTGCCGCTGGGCAGGTTTTTAAACAGCAGGCGGCAGTTGTTGCCCGGAAAGATGCGGGCTTTGGCCCGGTGCTTGAAGGGGGCGTGCTGCTCCTCGTCGGGGTTGGTGGTGTCCAGAAGCCTTTCGCCCTGTGTGTACTTGCAGAAGGCTTCAGGTGACTCAGCAGGAAGCGCATATTTGCAGTCCATCCTGAGGTGGTTCTCATCAATAGAGCAATAGGACAACTGAATAACCTTCTGAGTTGCTGCACAGCCTACGTTTGGCACAACACAAAGAGATGCTTTAGTATTCACCAACTTCAGTGGAAACGATTAACTTTTTGTGATGATATTTGTAAAGAAAAACATCCTCTGTAAACAACATATGAATTGTCTTACCAAAAAAGAGTAACACTGTGGTAATCAGCAGCATTCTTCCAAGTTTCCTGATTAAAAAACAATTAAAAAGCAAATTGTTTTCAATGTTTCCCAATTAAATTAAGGAAATTGGTTTCAGTGTCTACTGATTCAGAAAGAAAAAAGCAGAGCAAATTGGTTTCAATAAACAAAAGTCCAGTGTCTATCGGTTTTTATTTGTGCTTTCATGCATCTCACGCTTCAAAACAAATAAAGCTGACTCTGCTTTAAATACCAGGGTCATGTTTCCAGGACATGAATATCCCGTTTCTGCAGCTCTTTTCCAACACACAGGGAAAGTACCACAATATTGAGGAACTGATTCCAGTGCGGTCTCACTCTTTCCGCTGCAAAGACATGAACTGCAAACTTCACTGGTAAATTGCCAACATTGACGCATTTCTGAGCCTAACCTCTCCAGAGAACAAAGCCCAATCATCCACCCCTCTGAATATGTTAAGGAAACACATAGAGCAATTCAGCAACATTTAGTTTGCCTGATGCAAAAGCCTTTGATTAGACTATTTCCTCTGGTGCAGTTTGGAGCCAAATATCTGAGCCACAATAAAAGCACGAAACAGGAGCTGTCCGTACAGTGCAGTTCAATATTCTACACGGCCGGGATACAGATCATTGAATGGGAATCTTTCTCACCTTCTCTGATGCATTCAGAGTCCTCCTCAGTGCTCTGCAGTGTGATGCCGGGGCTAGATACAGTAGAGGTCGGCTTGTGGAAGAAACAGAGGAGAGAGGGAGGGGGACAGAAAGAGTGAGGGGAGGGGGAGAAAACTGCTGCTCCAGTGGACTTTGGGGACATTTCTTAGTACTGTATAAGGCTTTAAATTGATTTATGATCCTCCTTCTGTTTTACCACCGGAAAGAGGATCACGTGTCAATAAGCAGTCCTCTAAGTCTGACGGGTTTAGGATTCCGGACGGGGAAGAAAGGGGAGATTCTTTGAGGACAGTTTGATTAGTTGAAGCACCTCGGCTGATCTACGGCGTCCCATTCAGCCGGGTGATGTGTGCCAGCAGAACCTCAGCGACTTTTGTCTACACGGATTAAAAGTCAGACACAGCGCTCTTGGCAAAAGAACACAAAATGAGCACTTAAACAAACTGATTTAGTCACAAAGTGGCACAAAGTCTCTAAAAATATGTGCAAAATTATTTGAATGAGAGGTAAAACTGACCATAAACGCATGACCAAAATGGAATGCTAATGACCTAAGTGTGACAGTTGACATTTCCCAAAAATGTAATTGTATAATTTCAAGAATCGTCAATAAGCAATCACATGAGGTACAGGTGGTGTAAAATTATGTGAATTAGACAAATTCTCAGTGATATGAATAAAAACTGTGTTTTCTGGGTATTTTAGGTAAAAAGGGCATTTTGAACACCTCTTTACCCAGAAGGCCTGCTGTTTCCCAGTATTTCCTGTGAATGTTGTTCTACCATCTGGTGACTCAAAGAGCTAAATCTCATTATCCGTCGACTATCTGTGACTCAAATTCATGGAAGAGCTGCAGAAAAAAAAAATTCCTCAGCGGAAAAATTCCACCACTCAAACCAGCCTGTCCTCCATGTCTCCTTCACATTGCTCGTCCATTTTGTCAAGGTCCTTCACGGACAGCTGAACAACGAGGAGGACGCAGACACAAGCGTCTGTGAACGCCCCAGAAGCTCAGCTCCTAACGATGGAGGATACCTGCTACCCTCCACAGCGCTCTTGTCTGTTTTGAATATAAATAGCTGAGAAAGCAGGTTGTGGTGATCCCTGCCAAAAGTATTCATTAGAGATTCCGTGGCTGTGATCCCTGCTGCTCGGCTCCTCCGCTGGATGCTGATACACTGCAGATGAAACACAAACCCTCACCTACTCGTCTCCCAGCATGTACACCACACCACGGGGTGTCTTGGATAGTGCAACCCAATGTCAGGCATGTCGTGGATAGCTTCCTTTCAGACCGAGACTGACAAAGACCTGTAAAGTGTGCAAGCTGTATTTTACAGGCTACGTGCATCTTTGATGCATTTAGATGCCAAATATTATACATTTATTTAGATTAATAAACATGTAATGCCTTGATTTTTAAATGAAACTATTAGCAGAAATATGAGCTTGAATGTTTTGAATATTATTATTTTTACTAAGATCCTGTCGTCAAATTCAGGATGAGCAGACATTTTCTGAACAGAATATTAGTTGAGAACATTAGCAGATGATGTACTTCCGTACAGAGCATCGTAACGTGTCATGAGTATGGTCAGTTACTGAGTCTGAATGCATGTCAGTTTTATGACCGCTAAAGTGGGATCCTCTAATATGCTCCACCGGCTTAAAGATGATGGGTTTTGATCACAGACTGCACAAAATAAGAAGTTTGCTCTCCAGGTCTACCTGGGATCCTAAAACCAGAGAAAGTAAGATCTATATGGCCAGCACAGCACGCTTTACCTGCAGCTGGCTGGTTATTGGATGTCACTGAATCAATGACCACTGAAGGGTGGTGTTTTGTTTTTTCATGGTGGCACTTCTTTTTTTTGTCCTGCAGAGGGAACTCTTGATTTGCACCGATATACATTGACAGACCATTTTTAAAAAAGGGGTTTAAGGGGGGTGGGGGTTTGGCATGGAGCAGTGAACTATGTGTCTCCAGGTCGCAAACACAGACAATTACATCACTCTTCTTAACTAACTGATTGATCCAAACATCAGAGACTAATAGGGATAAAATGTCAGCCGTCAGCTGGGGATTTATGAAGCTGTATATTTGACTATTAAAGTGTTTCTTGAGTGAATGGATTTTTATGGTCTTTATACGTCTTTATTCTAATCTATGTGCCTGCGTGTTTAAGTGAGGACGCACAGAGCGGTAACTGGATCCTCAGTCAGCGCTGCTGATGCTGAGACACACACACACACACACGCGCGCGCATCAGGACCGGACATCAGGTAAGACCTGCGGCCGCATCGGTCATTGGAAAAAGGAAAAAAGTCGGGTTAAGGCAGCAGAAAACAGCTCAGGTCGACTTTGCGTAGGCACGCAAAGGCACGCGTGCACGGATGTCTGTCTGATCCCCCCCCTGCAGCGGCCAAACCGTGCGCATGCACTTTAAGGAGAGTTGTGGCAGTTTTGCTGCAGTGCACCGAGACGCATGGGCGTAGTCTTATCTGCATTTTGGGCCGTGGGTGTCGGACTGTCGCATGCGGAGGACCGTGGCTGCCTTTAGTGGGCCCACTCCGGCCTCAGTTCAGCCACCGTGCGGCTCGCGTCAGTTTTGATCGAAGCCTGGGATCCGGGTGTGCGTGTGAACTTCGTCATGTCACGTCCCGTGTCTAACTTTGCCAGGCAGTAGCGGTGGCGTGGACGTCTGATCGGACAGGTACATCAACATGGAGCTGCATCTGCTGCTGGCGGCCTGTCTGCTGTTCGGCAGGATCATGATGACGCATCAGACCACTCACAGTATGTCCCCCATTTCATATGTTCTTTCTTTTTCTTAAAAAAAAAAAAGGTGTTTTGTCTTTTTCCTAATGGGTTAAGGCTCCAACTTGCAATGCCCATCCTACTGGAATGACTCAGGGGAAATCAAATGCTCACGGTTATATTATGGATGCGAAGATGCATCAAATCTGTCCATTACAAATTATTACATTTTACAAACTTGGATTAAGTGAAGGCAGTTCAGTCCAACAAATCTTTCAATGGAGTGACAGATTATTCAGGAATAAATAGTATTGCTTTAATGCCCAATTAAATGTGTGACCATAATGGATTCTTGTGTTTAATTTTGGTCCATTTGTATATCTAGAAACTGTTATTGTTTTCCCAGTGACACATTTTTTTCAGAGTTATTATTTTCTTTGTCTGCTCACCAGAATTGTGAGCATGCTCAGCAGTTTCTACTCAAACCAATGAGATAGCCTCTTTGGCTGGAGCTGTGATGCAAGTGAATGAACAGAACGTTGCACAGCACAGGCCTATGCTGTCAATACCATGCGAAAATTATACGAAATGTAGTCGTATTATTGTAGTCGTATTATTAGGCTGCTTTTGCTGCCTATGTAAAAAAAAGGGGGATTATGATCAAGATAAATTCAGATGATCGCACGTTGACAGTGAGGGCAAATACTTAAGTTTCCCTAAAGTCTGCTGTTGACTGACCCAATAATTTACACAATATCCTCAATGTATAGAATTTGTCACTCTTTGTACAACCTGATATCATTTTAACAAGTCTCACAGTTTATTCCTACAAGATGTTTCTTTTTTCATTTTTCAACAGAAAGATGAGCTCTTTTGTATTCTCTTCCAGTGAATTCAGTGTCGACATTCTTGTTCGCTCCCCGCGGGCCGCAGATGTTCCCGTGTCTTACTTACCTAGAGCGAAATGTCAGGGTGGACTGTGAGTTCCCACCCACCGACCAGGTCCCTGGTCCCTACTGTGAGTATCGGCAGGACAGCCGGCTGGTGGGCAGCACCTACCCAAACGCCGTCACCTATGTGTCCACAGAGGACCGCAGGAGGAGCAACGTAAGCCTGGTCCTTCCTAACCTGTGCCGCCTGACCTGGGCCCCGCTGGCCGATGAGAAGCCGTACACCTACACCTGCAGGGTTTACCAGGGCAGCGGCTGGAAGGAGAACAGCATGGCTGTTCATCACCGTGAGTAGTCCCCCGTGCTAGACCCTCCGCTCCCCCAAAACACACCCAGAAACGGTCTGTGAGATCCCATTGTTTTCTTCGTTGCAGGACATCTCCTGATCTGCTCCGCCGTTAGTGTTCTGTTCAAATCGGCGCCGTGGATGTTGTCATTGGTGATGTCACTTCCTGTGGCGGTGGGTCTTCTGTGCCCTTGAGCTCTCAGTTAAAACTCAGTGGGCCTTCCATGGCTTTGACTCACTCTGGTTTGGTGGTTGCCCAATGCCTCAATGCGATATAATTTTATTTATAATAATATGTACATTTTTAGAGTTTAGAGACCATGAAGATCCATCTAACTGAATTGGACTGAATTAAACCAACTTCATAGTATGGGAAAAAAATAAAGAAATATAAAGATATTTGAAAGCTTTTATGTAACGGATATCACTGTAACCACTGAACACGCTGTTGTACAGAGCTACAGAAAAGGGTACAAATCATAAGATCAAATGTCACTATAAGCAAACAAAACAGTGAGTATGATGGCAATTATAAATAAGAGATAAGCCATTTTTAAAAGCATTGTCTTCATCATCATTTTCTTGTAAATGGTTAGATTCTATCTGGATTAAAATATTTTATGAAATAAAAGAATATTCATTTTGCAGGGTTTGATAATTTATCATTTAAATACAATCTGATGCTTCTTATAGATTTATATTCCTACTTATTGAAGTGATCAAGACTACTTACTTTAATGATATCTACTGAAATTAGAGGTGGAGAACGTCACTCTTTTCAGCACTTAAGTTCTTTAACTTAACTGTTAGAGGAGGTAGAAATGGGCTCCCTCCTGATTTAAGACACTACTATATAGAGTCATTGATCAGCTGCTCATAATCTTATGTTGCTCTAATACAGAATTCAACCAAGAGATGCATTCAGGTACATGTTATCATAGTAATAGAAAAACTGCTCAGACACTGCCTTTTCCGCTGAAATTGGGCCTCTCTCATACCTCCTTTACCTTAAACTAAATATTGTAGTCACTGTACATTGGACTGCACAGTCACGTTAATTTCAGGTGGTTGCATTAAAAAAAAGAAACAAAAGCACTTTTCTATTCCCTCTTGAACAGTGAAATGAACAATACCTAAGGGGCGGACATGACTGACCCTCAGACTCCGTAGTTGCTGGTGTACCATGTTTCTCTGCTTGCATTGATGCTTCGCTGTCCCGCCTAAAGAGACAAACCATGGCATGACTGGCTCGACTGTTTATGAGAACCATTTCCGCAACCTTTGATTAGCAGCATCTGTCGGTTTAACGAATTGACAAACTGTCAGAAAGACATTTCCTGCACTGCAGTTGCTCACTTCAATGTGAATGTGCATCACGTGTGTATACTATGAAAGCTTATGTAACATTTTCACTTTGATTTATCACGTTTGATGTGTACACACCTTCCATGGGGCCTTTCTAGCCACCATTGTGCTGCTTGTTTGTTTAAACTTGATGGAGATGAATCATCATTCTCATTTATTGTCATATTCAACAGTGACTTTATCTGCAGTATTTACTTTTTTTTTCTTTGTTGTTATTTTCAGATGCTGTTCTACTCTGTATAAGTAGCCCTGTTATTAAAGAAGTCTTTATATTTTTTCAAGTCAGCTTGATTTGGTTTATTTATTCAACCACTGTCGGTGCAATATATTGTATAACCAAGTTCCAACAAATAAAGGTTATGCAATGCCAATGTTTTCTGTGCTTTCTCAATGCAAAATCTAGTACTCTTTGAGCCACACGATCAAAGACTTTTCCATAAAAAATGATGCTGGAATAAGAAAGAGGATGTTCTGCCTCTTCCCACGTGCAGTGGCTGAGGATGTGGTGCTTCAGGAGGGTGACCTGCAGAGGGAGCCATTGTTTTACTCCACCAGTAGGAAAGCTCCCTCAAAACACAAACTACACTTTGAGAGCTCGAAGAGAACCATCAGATAAAGAATCTGAGATTGAAATCTTTTTAATCTTATGTTTTCAAAAAAATTTTCTAGCATCTGTTTGGTGAAAGGTGCAATCTTTACCTTGGCTGAGGGGTCCTTGACAGAATTGATGCAGAATTCATGGGGGAAAAAAACTTTTTAACCTCCTTTTTTTCATTTTAGTCGGATTTTGTACACCCAACTTAAACTATATTGCAGATATGTTAGACACACTGTCATATGTAAACTCAGCAACCACAAAAAATATAAAGAAGTAGATGATCAAACATTAGATACACCCTTTCTTGTTACATTAGCAGAGAAGGGCAGCATTTAATTGTATATCCAACATATATTACCATCCATTTTCTGAACCATCCATCCATCCATCATCGTAACCGTTTATTCCCTAATGGGGTCGCAGGGGGACTGGAGCCTATCCTGGTAGTCAATGGGCCCTTGACACCCCCTGGACGGTCCACTAGTGGTCCATCGTAGGGCCACACAGAGATGAACACTCACACTCACTCCTAAGGGCAATTTGGAATGTCCAATCGATCTAACATGCAGGTTTTCATACGCTGGGAGGAAGCCGGACCACCCGCAGAGAACCCACGCAGACACAGGGAGAACAGGCAAACTCCACACAGAAAGGTCCTGGTTGCTGTACATTTCATTGAATATCTCTCTGAAATAGTTCTCTCTGAAATAGTTCACACTGCAGTGAAGATTAATTGCGTTAAAAAAATAAATTAAACTGAAGGATTTTAGGATTTGATCAGATTATGACTTCTGATAAATTAGACTGTATGGCATGAAATGAGTCTTGTAACAGTCTTATGAAAGCAGAGTCACCAGGAGGTGACCACCAGTTGAAACCAGGAGGTGGGGTGTTCTGAGCTCGTATCCACCCACGGTCCTGTCACCCTGAGAGAAGATGCCGGCCTGAGTTTTAAGTAACCCGGGCTGCTGGCACCAATACGACCAACCCGATTTTCGCTGTTTCCTGTTCAAGAATCATGTGAATGGACTGATCAGCAGGCTGCTGCCAGGTTGATCACATCACAGATGAATCTTTATCTCAGTGCCCTCCTGAGAGATCCCAACATACCATGCATCCCTGTGGCTGGGCGTGCGTGTGCATTATCTGCCTCGTATTAGAAAAGCGGCCCAAGCCATCTAATTTTCAGGTTTTGTGCCTGTACCACACCGGGAAATTGGCCCCTCCACAGCTCACCATGGAGGCCCTGCAGGCTACCAACCTCATTTGGAGGACACGTTTGCCTATGGTTCATCCTGTTTACACAAGCACCAAATAATGACCTCCATCCATTTTAATGTACTTTATACGCACAGCTATCTCCCATTCAGTGGACATTTCAATAAAGGCTTGTGTGCTTTTTTCCATGAGCACAAACAGGAAGATGAAGCCCAGCAGGACACATGTCTGTCTCAAGATGTTTGTGAAGAAAATCTGGTTTCCACTGAGGGATAAAGATCAGCTGTTGATTCAGTCTGTTTTGATTTGCAATTTATAGTGCTGAGTGTTTTTCTTTTCTTTAATTGCCTGAGCTTTGTTAGCTTCTAGTCAAAAATCAACAACAAGCAGAGTTTTCCCTGTGTCCGTCCCAGAAAATTGCTCCAACCACCTGGGCTGTCCTGCAGTGTGATGACACTGGGATCCGCTTCCACTTAACAGGCTTGGAATTGCAATAATGTGAAAAACATTCCACATGAAATGCCAGATAGGGTCTGCGAACATGTTATGTTTCCCCTTCCTTTTGACTCCTTTCTCTCTTGAAGCGGACTCAGAAAACCCTGGATGCACACACGAGCAGAAACCCGCTGAACTCTCAAGAATGTGCCTCCCCCTCAGCACAATGGCTCCGCTTGCGTCTTTCCACCGGTTTCTTACGCAATTTTTCTACCTCCAAATTTCTGACTGAACAAGCAGTTCCTCTTGGCAAGGAAATGGAAAAAGGGGCATTTCCCAAAACATTAACATCCCAGGCCTTCGCTTGATCTTCAGTGAATGGAAAGGAAACTCACACATGTTGAAAGCATGTTTTGTTAGCAAGCCTGCTGAAAAGACGTTCCTTAATCACATAAAAAACATAGCAGTGGGGGTCCCATAACCCCATGCAGCTACCGACAAACGAATACACTGAAGCACTCAGGCAGGAGAAGTGACTTGACACCTCTGACGACAAAAGGCACCTCTGCTGCTGTGACGGACGCCTGGACCGGCCAGTAAAGAGGCAGATGATGAGCTAAAGGAAAATATCAGTCGCTGAATTTACTGGTAAAATACACATTTTCTGCTTGAAGGAGTTATAGCCTGTGTAGCACCTTCATTCTTTTTATTTTCAGCCACTCTGTTGTAGATTTGCTGCTGTGTTTTTGGAATCGTTGGCCTGTTTCAGGGCCAAATTCTGGTCCAACTTCAGCTCTCAGACTTCTGCCTCATGTTTGACTCTATAATATTTTGGTTCATGCTCCATTAAGTGGCCCTGTGACCACAAAAGTTGCCCATATGATGACACTTCCACCATCATACTTGACAAGTGGAATGTTCTTTTGTAGTAAACATACGGCTTTCAAGTCAAACATCTAACTTCGAAGATAAAGAGATGCAGGTGACTTCCTCTCTGCCTTATTTTCAATCCCTTATACAATTTTACATCTAAATCAAGAAGAGGATGTATTAGTTTATTCACCTACCAGTCTGACCTTCGAACCTGGCTGGAAGTTGACACCAGGGCTACCATGCATCTTAGCATCTTTGTCTTCAGGCTGATTCACAGGAAGAGCTTCCTCGGTTGGCATAATACGAGCAGCAGCAGCCAACACAGTCACTAGCAGGTGTGGAAGTAAAAAGGGAAAAAACCAGGAAGGAAACATTTCCAATCTCTAGGCCCCTGCGTCTGTTTCTTTCTGAATTGTGCAAATAAATTGAACCCAATGAATCATCAGTGGCGGCTTACATGACTAAGTGAGTGTAGACGCATGAGGTGGCTGTGACAGAAGACCTTTGCCTTGATTTTGGGAGTGGCCGAGTGGAAAATACCCACATGGTCGGGCTAAATGTTATACAGTCATGTTTATTCGAATGAACAAACAGGTATCCATTTCAAGGTGGGAAATTTAAAATGTGCTCTCTCGTTGCCAAACTTCTATCAAAGCCCTTATTCCAATAGCAACACCTCATTCAAAGCCAGCTTGTCATGGGGTCTGAAGACTGAGTGAAGCACATTTGGAAGGAATGAAAATTCTCCCCGATAGTGATCGAAATGAGTGGAGAGACCAACGACCTTTTAACTGGCTGTCTGCTCGGGGTTGATAACCTGGAAACTATTTGCAGTCAGAGCCCCAGAAGAACCGTGCATTTTTGCCAGCTCATAACGTGTGAATCGACAACGACCCGTTTCATTCATATGCTGCGCGAGCACGCACTGAGATGTCAGACTAGATAACGGCTGTTTGACTTTTTTATGGCAGGCAGACATCTGCACATGCACGCCTTTGCCGTGAACTAAATTACACTTGCAGGTTCAAGGAAGATCAGACCCAGATCAGATCTAGATAGGCTTACCGTTGACAGAACCTTACTCCAGTTAAATGTGCCAGCTTTATCACTGTGAGAGATCTCGGGGTTAGGTGTAACTTCCTGAGTGGTACGTACTCTGAAGACTGTACTGGGGCACAAAGACACGGTAGTGTCTCATATTTGGGCAAAACTCTTCGAGAGCAGCAGAACTTAAGCACTTGCTGACCTGTATGATCTGTGATGATCTGGATGAAAGCATGTGGGCTGCATTTGTGCTCAATGGCGGGTGTCCATGCTGCACGGGCTTCATTCCTCGCAGTCGGCTTCGCTCCTCACGATGCTCTGGCCCAGAAGTTGATTAATAACTTCAAGTCACGGCATAGGACGAGCTCTTTTTCAAAGTCTCAGTACACACAAGATCCTCCAAAGTTCTGGTTTCATTGAGTCATACTTTTTTATCTATAAGGCTGGCTCAGTAAATAATTGGGTATAATTCCCTGGAGGCACTCAATCTCATCACTATTTGATGTACACATACCTGACGATACAGCACACTGGATCAGAAGCACAAAGGGAGAGAGGTCAGAGAGAGGGGAAGCTCCGCGATGACCAAGAGACTGTGTGAACGATAAAAAAATGAAGCACCTGCATAAGCTCACTTATCCTATACTTTTGGGATTTATTAACAATCTATTTTCTGACTGTGAGGCACAATCATGCCACCCAACGTAAAGAGAATGAAGAGTGACGCTCTAATACAATGAAGACATAAAGACAGTTTTGCTTTTCTTCCTTTAATCACAAGAGTTATTTGTGGATGGTACAGTTCACACAAAAACTGTATTCTTTCAATAATACCTGAATGAGGACGGCAAATCGTCTGCATTAGTTTTTCCTGATAAAATTTGCATATAGGTGTCTCTTTTTTTATTTTTATTGTGGACTATCGAAAGTTTAATTGAAAAAGTCTTTCGTCCTAATGTAACAGACCCAAGCCACATTTGCGTAATGTGTAAAAAATATTCCCAGACATAGAGCTTTGTTCCTTTGTTTAGCACTGACTACAAGTGAAATATTTCTTTATCACAAAATGGCATTTAAATAAAAAAAATTACATCAACTAATGTTTATCATAAACTAATGGCTAAACATAAAATATGACTTTCATGAGGAATGTGTCCATACAATTAGCCTGAAATGGGGACAAAGTCAGCCTATCACTTACTCACTCAGGAAAATGGCAGGAAAAATCCCTTCAACCCTTCAAAGGTAAAATATTGAGGTATGACTGTTCTGCACTTATATAGTTTGAACACATACATGTAAACAACCATGCCTAAAACAAAGAGTATATTTCAGAACAAGTAAAATAATACAGAATCGATATGCTTAAGAAAAGATTTGTATATATAAGACGTATGTGCTTGTGAGGGTGTAGGCACAGTGAGAGGCACTCCCTCCACCTTCAGTAGAGTACAGACTCTCTGCAGAATACCGTAATTACAAGCACTCCTTTGGCTTTTTTCACTAAACTGCACACTTAAATCCACTTCAGGCCCCCTGTTGAGCCCCTGTTTTCACACAGTATGATTCAAAGGAAAATCTCCCAAACGTCCCTTTTTATGGAAAGAGATTAAGATAGCTGATGGAGTTTATGCAGGTTGGTGTATGGATATGAGATAACACTTTTTATTTTTCCAATGCACGTCATCCATAGATAGTCCAAAAGCCTAAATAATCGGGAGAAGCATCAACTGAAGGGGAAAAAACATTTTTTTCCCTGCATGAAAACAAACTGCATGTGAAGGTTTTTGTTTTTCCAATGTGTCTGCAATTACCTTTTTAGGAGTGAGTTTGATAAAAAGAACAGCCAAAAAGTAACTTAATCACAATTTTAAAAAAAATGTACACAGGTTATTCACATATTTGTACAAGCTTGTAAAGAACAAAGGAATAATCAAACATTTACAGTTCAAATAAATACTGCCATACAGTATAGAATTATCTCATTTCAGTTTTTTCTGGCCAATATCAGATAGGAGCCCTGTAAACATAAAGAGGTGCCATATCTAGATCCTTTTCATCGTTATTGACCAGCCTGTACAGGTCAGTGAGCCCACTGGGTTGGAATTAAGGTGGTTCCCCTTGTCACCTAAAAAAATATCTATTTGAGTTTCTCATTTCGAGTCTTAGATTAAAAACTCACTGTAGAGTCAACTTAATGTTGTCATGGACCAACACAACGGTGTATTTCTTTATGGCCTGTGAGTTGTTGTCCAGCTAAATGTTCCTGCAAACTTTTAGCTGTTCTACTGCATTGCCTTTGGGTTTTTTAATGACCCTATTACCAACTTTAATAAAGTAGACTGTTCATCTAAGACTAAATTAAGTGTTGTTTGACAAATTACACTTAAGAACTGGCTGTTTAAAAACCCTCTGTAAAGTAAACACCATCATCTTCATTTTAATCCTAGAATTTACTGGCTCTTTTCACCAGGAGGTAGCAAGAAAAGACTAAATCTGTCTCTGAAAAAAAGCACTAAACTGCATCTATTTCATTCTTTGTGCATTTCAAAGCTCCAATGAAATTCTCTGCTGGGTCATTAACAGCTGACTGTAATGACTGTGTAAGACTCTACATATTCCTGCTTTTCAAAAGCATGAGTAAAAAGCTCACCATTGGAGTTTTCTCGCCCTGTTTTTATGAAAATATGTATTTTTTTATTTCAGTTTCAGGATGTGAATTATGAACTTCTGTCTTCACTCTTGATTTATTTATTTTTATTCTAATTTAGAAGTGCACAGTTGTGAGAATAACTGTGTATGACAGTGTGAGTGAAGAGGGATGCTGGATGTTTTTATCTGTACTTTCCATTCTCTGAAAGAAGGTCAACAGAACATCTCTGAAAGGACACTTCTGAGGACGCCCTGTACAGTCTTAGGAAAAACGTGCTAACTATGGGATTAATCTCACCTATGTGTGGCATGCCCTTAATCCTAACCTGACACCCAGTTGTGTGTGGTTGTCTTTACCCTCTGGGAGAAGCCATGAGGTCCAGCTGCCTGGTCAAAATTAAAGTCTAGCGCCCCACCATCCATTAGGGTGTCATGGAGGACAGACTCCAGGTCACATTCGAGCCTCTCCAGGGACACGTTATCCAGATCACTGGGCAGCCGCTCCTGATGATGACCGTGGGGATGAACTGAGTTCAGCTCCCTGTAGCTGTTACCGTAGCTCGCTGGGAAATCGTGAGCATGTGCTGGATGTCCATGGGGTAGCTGCATACATGTCCTCAGCCTGGTCATCCGTGGCGGGGCCCCGGCAACACCAGTCAGACTAGCGAGAGGTATCATGTTACAGCTATTCAAGTCTCGTGAGGCAGCTGGGCCTGGGCTATGTATAGCATGTGGATTTAAATGAAGACCTTGGTGACTCAGTGGGGCATTCAACATTTTAACGCCACAGTGACCCCCCACATTGTTCTGACTGCTGTAGGTGGGCATTAGGCAGCTTACTCTCCCAACCTCAGACACCTGTGTCTCACTAGAGGGCATCATGTCTCTGCTGGTGTTTGCATCTGTGGTCAGCAGTTCTTTCAGAAGGCCTGCGGGGCAGATATATTGGCTCTCATAAGTACCAAAGCCCGGCTTGGTTTCTGGAAGAGTCTGCATGGGGACAGAGGACAGGGAATTCATCCTCACCTGGCCATACATGCACTTATGGTAGTCCTGGGTCAAGCTAGGGGAGGTGTAGGAGCTACCCTGAAGCGAGGGAGCATTTGTGGAATGTGAGGAGTCCGAGCCCAGCTGGGCGGCTTTGGGAGACAACAGATTAAGGTTATCCAGCAAACTCTCCATGACACGTTCAGAGCCATGCTGGCCCATGGATCCTGACACCTCCGAGAGGCTGGGCAGGGCGGAGGCTATCTTGGTCCCTGAGGATCCAGGATACATCATATGGCCATCAGTCTCCCCAAGATCGTCTTGCTCAGGAGGGAAGGGTGAGCGCCGTCCACTCAGAGTGCTGGCATCGGAGCTGGTCCGTGTTCTGAAGGAGCTCCAGGGTTCTAGGTCGTCGTTACTGTGGGAGTTTGGACTTCCCAGCCAGTTGGAGTACTGGGATCCAGGGCTGCCCGCTTCCCCTTCAACCTCCTCTTGTAAAGATATCTAATAACATAAAATCCATTAAAAACATTACAGGCTGCCTTCAAATAAGCAGACTACTATAAACCAGGATAAAAATGGATCTAGGTTTTGCAGAAGTGTGACAAAATAATTAGTCTTAAAATATACGGGTGGAAAGTTGTATGCTGTTAAACACATTGAATGTACCTTTTTCTTGGTGGCCCTCCCTCTGCTCTTGACAAACTTATTGTTGTTGTCCATCGAGGCAGCTCTGCGTCGTGGTGACTTTCCGTTCTTTCCCCCCTCTGGGTTCAGCATCCACCAGGAGCTTTTCCCTGTTCCCTCGTTCTGTATTCGCACGAAGCGACTGTGCAGCGACAGGTTGTGTCTGATGGAGTTCTGGACAGAAGATGAAAACACAAATCAATAATGTTATGGTAGGCACTCAATCATTCTTCGACTTTCCCCATCGCCTGACATGTGCAAAACCTATATATAGAGATCTATTTTGATAAGAACAGCTAAAGCTTTTAATCCTAGCCCTCCTTTCTGCCGTCTCTCCCTTATTATTATTTTCTTGCTTTATTGCGCATGTGTTTTTATGACCTGGGTTGTTTCCAATTTAGTTTGTTCCGTAGAACCTCTGTCCCACCCCTCCAGCAACACAGCAAACCTTTGCTATAAAGTGCTTTAAAACAAGACAAGGAAAGGTCATTTCAAATTGAGGTGGAAAAGAGGAGCTCATAATCGCTGATATTATTCTAAGGATCATATCTTGTATGTTTCACACTCTTTGCGGGAAGTCTGGGTGTGAAAAAACTCTAATGACGCTGGTTTTAACCAGGTTACTGTATTTTTGTATGTGGGCCCATTTGTCCTGTCCCCACACCTATGTACCAAAGAGTCCACATTTAGTTCATTTTTCTCTAATGCTATGTTACGAAGAACAAATGGACACTTAGGCTCCTTCTGCTGCAAGCGCTGTTGGAAAGACAAACAGAACTGGTTGGGCGACCGAGAGGGCAGATCCCCTACATACTACTGGTGCCTGCTGAGGTCTCATGGGGCCTAAGTGCAGCATGCTGCTCTGGACGGTGGGTACAATGACAGACAAACACCAGGAGCATCAGCAGGGGATTTCCCCTCAAAACCCAAGTGAAGCAAAAAGCAGATCTCTGCAGTTAGTGCAGCCAGATGTCCCCAACCACAGAATTCAACAGGGGTTCACAAAGAACGCGGACAGAAACTCACATTTCAGACATCAGATGGATTGTTTGTGTCTGAAACGCTGGGCTTAGGTGTGGCTTTATGGGCGAGTATGACCCGTACTCTATTTCATCTGTGGCCTGTCACAGGATCTTTTTGTATTAAATTTTGCGCAATTGCCAGATTATATCGTTACAGAACCTTTCTGATTTTGTCGTGGAAAATGTGGTTAAATAAAGCGCAGCATTGCCCGGGAGACAGCCTGAAAAAACTGAAAAACTTAACCACCAATTTAGCCTCAAACTGTGCATTATCGCAGAGAAGACAAAAGGACTGAGCACAATGAGATTTTTTTACTCAAAAACAGAGTAAGAAGAGGTTAAAGGGTTCGCTGCAGCGATGGGGAGGGTGACACAGTGAGATGTTTTTGCCTGCAGAGGTGGGGTCAGTGAGTTCGCTGTGTGCTGAACATGAGCTCCTCAGCCTGCCCTGCCAGAGACATGCAAGCAGGTTGGATGAAATAGGAAAAGGCAGAGAGAAGAAGAGAAGCATCAGATGTGACATGCTTATGGCTTGACCTGCTTTGTGAGCAGCCCCTGATGACCCCACCCCATCACCCCAGCCCAACTCCTCCCCAATCCGCCGCTTTAAAACAAGGCTTCCTGTGTCAGAGGACATCCTGCACATGCAGCCTGAAAACACTTAAGGTGAAGTTATCGCTTTCTGCTCAGCCACAGATGCCGTGTTCTTTCGGAGGAGTATTCATCTGATTCATGACCTTTTCTCACCTCTTTTTAAGGTGATCTCGAGATGTAACCGATGACAGGAAATGACTCATTAGTAAAAGATCTAAAACTCAACCTGTTCTACCGACTCAATCTTAACTCCAACTTTCACAAGTGTTGCTCAAGCATGGCTGAGATGACTGCTGAAATGCAAATGCCCAAAGCCTCAGATTAGTCTCCACAATAGCTGAGACGCTGCAGGGCTGCTCCCCTCAGAACGGCATTCTCCTCTTGGCCTGGATAATCCTTGTCTGAGCAAGAACTCACCTCAGCCCAACGAGGACAAAGGACGTCCTCTGCTTCACTAATTCAGGAGCCCCACTTCGCATTATGAAAGCCTGACCCAGTGTGGCCTTTTAAATAGCTGCTAAGGCCACTACTTTTAATTGACTTTGAGATATGTGCACCTGACAGCTCATCTGCTTTGGGGTGTCTACTTGTTCTGCAGTGACCTTTTGTGGCAAATGGGGAAGTTCCCTGGCCACACACTGTGGAGGTCTGAGACAGGTTAACAATTTGTAAAGCCTGAGCTCATCTTGGCTGATCTCGTGCACAGAGGATCTTGTCCTGCTGTATGTGACCATAACTGGTTTCAGCAATAGGAATCTTATTCGGTGGATGACGACAGATTGGTGCAAGAACGGCTGACCTGGGGAAGCGCTGACTTCTGACCAAATCTATTTTCAGTTTGCCTTCAGTAATGGCCCATTAGGGAGCAGGGTGCAAATTCAGAGCAGCTTTGTTGACGTGGTCCACCTGCTGCCGCCCAGCTCAGACACGTGGTTCCACTCAAAGACCGCTGAAATTGGTCCGCCATCTTGCAACTCTTAAAATGAACCCCATAATCTGGGAATCAGGCGTGATCAGTGTCACCCGGATGAGCTGCGGCTGCATTCATTGAGCACTCCCCCTGGACTTCAAAACAATTGAATTTGGTACAGCTGCTGTTTCTTGTGTAGCGAAGCATGAGGCTTGCAGTAACGGTCGCAGGACAAGTAAACAAACAGGACCCAGTCGCAGGAACAGGTGCAACCATAGTGAAAGTGGCCTCACTTGCAATTAGTCCAAACATGGTACATAGAGCAGTGCAAGCAACCACAGCAAGACAGAGGACCTCCCAGGAGAACGTCTGCTGGAGAACAGCTGCTTCTCAAATCATCAACACCAAGTAGGCTACGTCTAAAAAATGAAGGCATAAGGAGTTTTCCCCATCGACAGCACAGATGGGATTGAATCAACTTGTCCCAGCGCTCATGATCCTGTATTGGATAAAATAAATATAAAAAGCATATGGATTCAACCATTTCAATTAATACACCCAGATGGAGTGTTGTTTCCCACAGGAGTCCATTTAGACATTCCTCAATTGTTAAATTTGTCATATGTGAACATTTTCTTAAACTTCAAAGCTTGCTTCTGCACATGCAAAATCAGTTTCTTAAATCTTTACTTCAGTAAACAAAACAATTCAAAATCAGAAAGTTCAAATTGATGCACTGACTATCCGGATTTATTTTTCCGGTAGAAATGTGTTGTTAATCTTTATGTGCAAAATAAGTATTGAAATCTATCATTCATATTATTTAACCCATGAACAAATATGTCATTTGATGCCAGTGGAAAATCGTCTAATTTGCAAAAGGTTGATGCTACATTTAGAGTGGCGACACAAGTTGTAGATCAATCAGAGCTGTGTTCTGCGAGATTTTAACCACCAACACAAAAGTAGTCGGTAGTCAGGAATGTATAACACTAAAGCAGAAATTACAGTGAAAGGACCAGCCACATCCTCACAGTGCCTTCCTGTGCACCCCTCCCCCATCTCTCCTCTGACCCCGGATGCGCAAGTGAGGTTGGAAATTAGCGTGGGACCCGCGCTGTCTGTTAGAAGGCGGTTAAAAGGCACGCTATAGAGGCAGAGCGCTGCAGTATGACGTGGAGAGCATGCCACCTCGTCTGGACTCCCCACACAATGCAGGCTACTTCATTAACGCAGAGCAGGAAACTATGCGACCTACTTGCGCAATGACTTCAAAGTGGCACCCTGAAAAGAAACGGAGAGCTTTGTGTTGAGTTTGGCTTCAGATAAACAAAGAGAGGGAAGAATTGTTCTTATTGTTTAACACAACGTCTTGCGCACACAATGTTTTTTGTCTAAAATAAATCCTAAACTTCATAATTCACACTGGACATTACATAATCCTGCTTTGGGGTAAATCTAGATACGTTTGGCAGACTTTATAATTGTAAATATTTTCAAATGAGTTAAGATTGAAGGGGAAGGATGGAGGCCTCCTCTAGATAAGGGAGGATCTGGCTAAACTGCCTTCTGATTGGTCAGTTTCTTGCCGTTGTTATGAAGTACAAAGCTGAGGGAAAACCTTCAGAAACACACTGTGTTCAAGCATGACAACAGGTGACAAACGAAACAGCAAAACAAACCGCCACAAATTGAAGTCTCTGTCTTTTCAATATACCCAGTAACCTGTAATTGTTTGTAATTGTAATTGTTGCCAGGAAAAGAAAACTCACAGTTAGATAAGCAAGCTGAAACGGGTTAACTTGTCCCCAAACCAAAGCGCATCTCTGAGGCAAAAACAAACTACTGTGCTTTGAAAAGCACTGGTGGATCACGCAAGACTTCTAGGTGTAAAAAAAAAAAAAAAACACACACACACACAAAAAAACCCCAACCTTTAACTGTTTATTTTCTGATGCTAAGCCCTTAACCTCAGCATCCTATCGGGGCCTCAGGAATGACGTCCAGTCTTTTCATGACCACTTTTCCCAAAAAGGTCACCATCATATGTGCATCCAACCCCAACCCGAAGTTAAGGAGTACAAAGGGGTTCAAAACTTTAGAGTAACTATTAAGTACACACTTAATAGAGTAAAAACTGTTGTTGTGTATGCTGGACACTGATTCTCTTTCTTTCCACAAATCTTTGCACTCCTGTCTTAACAGTGTTATCTGAGGCCATAGCCCTTATATTTTGAATATTGAATTTGTATACATAACCAAGTAGAGTATCGTTGTCTTGCACAACCTGGGAGATGGGCCACAGATCTACTGACACACATGTAGAGGGCGGACTGTACTCACACCACTGCCCAGAACCATTCCAGTCAGCTGACAGCTCCCCTCCGTTCCTCCAACACCGGCGGCCCCTCTCAGAAAGCCCCTGCCCCAAGCCTCCCTTTCTTCATGGGGTTACTTGAAGCTGCTAATAGGCCTTTTAAACTTAGGACATGAATTTGGCCTTCCTCCACAACCTCGTGATCTCAAGAAAAATAGCTGGCAGTTATTCTGTTTATTCTCTTTCTTTTTTTAGTACCTTTTGTCCCCTTGTAGGCCCGTGTCCCCAATGTGGGTTCACAATCCAACAATTCAGACCTTCTGTGAGGAGGATTATTTGATCATCTCAAACCATCATCATCTGTTCATTTTCTAAAAATCCCTGGCTATGTTCATGTTGTTTTTTTGGGGGGACTCCAAAATATCATCATGATCCTAAATATTTTTTATTTAGGAACATAAGGTGAATTATTAAAGTCATTTAAGAAAACAATAAGTGGGTCTGACACCAGGGAGGAAAGGCACGCTCTGGGGAGGGTTAGAAGGTACTTTCCTGACTATGTAGAGGAAAAGTAGGATGGTATGTCTGACTTATTCTGTGGGGTAATCTGGAGAACGTGTCCTTGCTCTGAAAAGAACCCATTAGTGGAACTTAGACAAAGAACTGAACTCCTGGAGCAAAGTGGATTTGTTTTGTCAAAACGAGCAGCTCCATGACCAGAGAAAAGCTCGCACAGCGTATCAGCAAGAGTCAATCAAATACGCGGCCCCTGTGATGGAAACGACTTTGCTTTGGCCAGATAAAACTGACAAAGTATGACATGTGTAGTTTGTGTTTATCTCGCTTAAACTTGGTAAGAACTCCTATTTCAGTTTAAGCTGACATGCAAACGCAGGCCGAGCAAACGGCCACTTTCATCAGCCTCTGTTTGTTGATCTGAGGGGTGTTGTTCACATGGAGGCAGAGTGAGCTTTTTCCACTGCACCACTCGCCTCATCCTGAATAAATAGCTTCAGTGTTGTCTGTCATTACTTTCCGCGGCAGACATACGGAAAACCAGACCGCCTAATCAACAGGTTGCAAATCTGCCGAGTGGAGGCCAGTTGGTCACTTTTGTCTGATGATAGAGTCAGATAAACCTGTCAACCTGTCACTGTACAATCGATGCATTCAGGTTGCGCAGACTAAAACATTCCCCTGCTGCCTCGCGTCTGCAGGCCAGGGCTGCTTCTGCATTTCAACAGTTAGTTTAACCAAATGAAGATCAGAGATGACCTCCCCGCAAACATGTTTTGAAAGGAGCACCTCACAAACTCTGTGCCAGTTAGACTCGAGGGGATCACTTCCTTTTCCATCCCGTAGCGTCACAGTTCACTGAGAAAAACAGCAGCGGTACCAGTAAAATGCTAAGTGTCTGTTGCAAGCTGGAGCCCTGCCGCTTCTAAGCCCTGCGACGTCCCCGGGGAGGCTGCCCACACTTTCCGGGGGAGGGTTCTTTTGTGGCAAAGGTATCGTGATCTCTAAGCTGTCACTCACTTTTTAGAAGGAACACAAAGAAATCCCTGCGATACGAAGGGAGACAGGAAGCTGTAGAGGCACCAGCATCGCCCTCATCCTGCACTCCACCCGTCTCCAATGTGGAGCGGTGTAATCGCTGGGGTTCAAACTCAACGCCCTCCACCCACCATGAGGTCACTGGCTTATCTCGATCTGTCACCGCAATCAAGGAAATTAAGGAGACACGAGCATGTGGATTCTAGAGGCCCAGAGAAGGTGCAAAACACAGCGACCATCCTGGTGATTGTGGTCAACAAGTTTCCAGGAAGGCTGAAATGGAATTAAAAAAACAAAACAAAAACAACTTCACATACAAATAATAGCACACTCGTGATCCATATTTGGTCTCTCCCATTGACCCCGCCCCTTTTTTTTCCAGCTCTGCCTCTTGTGTTTTTGCAGGTTGGGGATGTTAACACATGGCACTGTTTTCCATCCACTTGGCAGGAAATGCATCATAGTTCATTGTGAGGGGACTGTGATGTGTTTTTTTTTTAACAGGGAAGTGTAAAAATAACTATCAGCTAGTGGTTCCAAGGCCTGGCGGGAGTGCCAACATTTAGGAATGCGGAGGCTGACTCGAAGAGGTGTTGATTTTGTGTAAAAGGTAGACAGGCTGGAGCTTTTGTTGGAAGTGCTTGTGAAAAGCTTTGGAAAGCATCTGCATACCAGGATGTGCATCTGGGCAATTCATGCATTCATATATAGACAAAATATGAAGGAAACGTGAATTAAGGCTGAGGAACTAAAAAGAAAAAAAGGACTAAATTAAGCAATAATTGTTGTTTTGTGTGATTTAAAGGAGAGGAGCAACCTGGCAGTGATTTCCTCACCAAATAACTGAAAGAAGTCACAAACACCTTCTACAAAAGGTCTGACAGCGGAAACTAAAGGAAGTGATGGGATAAAGAGTGGTGATCCCTTTCTCCGAGCTGGAGCATCCGTTGAGGAAACTCTAGAAAACACGGACACAAAGATATGAGCGCACAACTCAGGAATGGAGGATGTTTGACGTTGCCCCCCCCCCGTGCTTCCAGCCCCCTTCCCCTCCGACACACTCCCCAACACTGATTGAGCTGTTTGTGTCGCCTCCTGTTATTGTGGAGGGAGCTCTGAACAGTTTACTCCACCATGCTTCCCTTTCAGAAAAATGTTTGGAAAAAAAGAGAGGGGGGGGTGGGAAGGAAAAAAAAAGCCAGCTCACCTTTGTTTAGAAAGACGCGCACGGAGAAAAAAGGAGAAAAAAGAGGTGTAGCACTACAAGCTGTGATCGTGCTTCTCTTGTCACGGCGTTAAACAATGGGAACTATATTTGACTGAGGTTTCCCAATGGCATTTCCTGACAGTTTTGAAATGACATCTCATGAGAACGCCAGAATCACTGGAATGATGGTGACGCTGGAAATATGAACGTGACCTCTGAACGAGCTTTAACTTGCCCCTTCTTTTGGAGAGCGGAATCAGCCCTGTAAATCTGCACGACAATATGTCTTGAATGGGATAGCTGTGCTAATGTACAGGGAATCCCAGAATTGGCTTTGTCAGAGTGAATTTTCATTGATCAAACTCAAACAAAATGCTCAAAAGAAGTGGAGGGCTTTTTTTTTTAAAGTTGAAGACTGCCCTTTAGTCTCTGGATGGGCCTTACAAAAGAAATCCTATCATTTTTTAGTGTTCCCCTTGAGGGCTATATATATATTTATGTTAAAAAGTATTTGCATGTCCGACCAACTGGTTGGTTGAGCTGTGTGTTTCCTCACTAACACAACAGAGAGGCACATGCGACCACCAGCAGGGGAAATCACTCTAAAACTTCAAAGCTAGCTGAAATACCAAAGATCATACACCCATTTTCAAACTGACTATTGAAAGTTTTATTATTCATGTTGGTGGAACCTTTTTTTTTTTTTTTTTTTTTTTTTTTTTTTTTTTAAAAGGTACAAAAAGTTACATTTTCTCCTGAATGGAGGTAGAAAATGTAGTTAATCCTATTCAAACACTCAGATGTTGGTGGTAAATGTTTTTTTTTGTTGTTTTTTTTGGCTGGTTATGTGGAAGTGACAGGTAGTGAGTAGTGAACAAAGTTTTGAATGATCTCATGCGTTGCCCGGCCACTGTAATAATAAGCGGACAGCTCTGATTGTTGCTTTGTTGCTTTTCCCAACTTCAAGCCTGTTGTCTAGACTGGCTAAGAAAGTGACATCACAGATTTTTAGGTAAGTGCTGCTTCCCTGTCTCTGGGGGGAAGGCTAGGCCCTGTTCGACTGGCCGAATGATCAGGGATTTAGTAAGAGACAGGTTTTGTGACATCACTGGCTGAGGAGAAGGGTGTTAGTCAGAGCAACAATTACACTGAGGCATGACTCTCTTTTTGCTTTCTCCTTACATGTTATCAAAATGTATTTACAAGGAGTTTAGACTGCACATTTGAGGCAGCAACTGAGTACAAAGTGTAACAAAAGCACTTTTTCTCTGGGCTCTTTGTACAGCTAATAATAACTCCTATGTTTACCATGTGTTCTCTCTGTTCAAAACCATACAGTAAACCCTCCAGAATGCGTGAAAGCCGGACACAGGAGACACAGCTTGACCTTTGTTCGGCCACTTTACTCTGAGTCGATCCCATCAGGGTCTCATCCAGATGTGCTGCTAACCGCTGTGGGTGATTGGGTCCACTGTTGATACAAACTTCTAAAGTGTCTTGGGGGGGGGGGGGGAGCTCTCACCAGTGTCATAAAAACAAAAAGGGACGTCTACATCAGGCTCATCTCATGCACAAAAGTCTACGTGACGTCAAACCTCCGTGCGCGTGCAGGACACTCACCTTCCAGCCCGCAGAGCTGTTGCTGTCCCCCTTATCTTTGAAGTACGGCACGCTCTTGACCATCCAGTCATAAATCTGGGACAGCGTCAGCCTCTTCTCCGGCGAGCTCTCGATGGCTTTGGTTATGAGGTCTGCGTACGACATGTTACCCCAGGCGTTGCGGCGGGACGAGCTGATCTTCCTCTGCCCCCCCAGAGGAGGGCCGACCCCCGGGGGGGGCACCTGTGGCTGGGGCGCGAGCTGGGGGCTCGCGAGCTGCTGCTGCTGATGCTGCTGCTGCTGGTGGTGGAGGTGGTGGTGGTGCTGGGGGTGGTGGGGCTGCTGCTGGTGGTGGGGATGCAGATGCACACAGTTCCCATCCCGGCAGTGAAAAACGTTACAGGGCGGCTTGGGCTCCGGGTACTGCTCGTAGTCCTCCTCCAGCAGGCCGAGGTTGCTGACGAACTCGGCGTTCGCTCCCGGCTCCTGCTGCGCGGGCGCCGCCGGCGAGGACGTGTCGGAGCCGGCGGAGGGCTCGCCGAGCTCCGGCCGGTGCAGCGGCCAGGTGCAGGACCGCGGGCGGGAGAGCGGCTCGAAGTCCGGGTCCACTTCGACCGGCTGTGCCTGCGGTGCCTCAGCCATGTCTGGGTCACACCGGCGCTGACTTTGACATGAGACGCTCACATCCAAAAATACGACTAATTACCAGGTCTAACGAGCGCTAGCTTAAGGGAGTTTTTCGAGACTTTAGAAAAGATGTCTAAAAATGTTGAGCGGCGCGTTAAGACACACAGATAAATGAAGAACGAACAGGGCGGTCTTTAAGTAAATAAAAAAAACAGGAAAGCGTTTTGTTCCAGCTTGTCGCTGAACTTCACACCTTGCTGCATCGGCAACTCTGAAGTCTGCCGCGCTGTCACGATTAACAAGTACCCCCGTAGTAGTTTGGTGCTGCCTTCACGGCCCACTCCAAGACTCAGCCTTCAGAGTTCTGAAACCACACGGTGCGTTCAAGAACCTTTTGTTGTGGGGGATATTGACGAGAGAAGTAAAGCTCTTCATTTCGAGTCATCTTCATTCAAAAAGAGATCAAGTGTGGATTGAATATGGGTCCAGTCTGAACAATTAATATTTTCAAACCAATTCCCAATGGTACAATATGCATTAGGCCACAGAATCTTACCAAGTGTATCTTCCAAGTGATAAAAACCACATCTGTAATCACAAAAGCTGTCACTACAAAGCACTCTTTTGTGTGATAACACTCTTAAATGTGCAACATTATTGTGCATTTTGCTCTGAAAAGCAACAGAAAGCCAAAGGGAAAATGTAACTCCCAGTGGTGCTAAGATACCCACATCTGTCCAACAGTAAACGGCTTCCTTTGCTTCATTCTCTCTGAATAGTCTGTTCTGTCCCTTGTGAATTTCAATGTGAAATACACAGTTTTGCTATTTTTGAATGAGTGGCATGCTTATGCTGCATAGCTGGGTATTGTCCACATATCCCCTTTTTTTTCAACAGAAGAGCATAACTCCAGCTGTTTGGCACTTAAGATAATTCTGCCAAAAATGGGAAGAATACTTTAATTTTAAGATGGTCAATTTGTCAAGACTTAATCACATTTATTTACGTAAACGCTACTACAAAGTGCGTAACAACACAGCAGATGAAGTATTTAATTGGATCTGCTTATTTTCACCTTCTTTTCAGAGCTTGATGTGAAACTTTAGTGTCCAAGTTCAACATAGACTTAGATACCATCACTACCATCTAGAGGACTGTTTTATATTTAGCAATTTCCAAGAAGAGCCGTGTTTTCACACCAATACACTTCAAGTACAATATGCCGCCAACAAATAGAAATGAGGAAGTGTTGCCAACAACTTATCATGCCAATCACTGTGCTTGAGTGTAAGTGAACAAAATGTGGAAATGAGGCACTTTTAAACATCAACCTGTCATGTTCCACTTTGTCAGACAATAGATCGAGGAGGGTGTTTTTAGACCCAATGGAATCCGTGTGGCACATTGTTTAGAGTTCTGTTTAACTTTAAAACCACTTCCCCTGCAGAGTGTATCGAGTTCAAGGTCTAATTATGCTCCTACTGTAAACTTGATCAGAAGCTCTCTGTGAACCGGATTCTTTTTTCTCCACCACATCTGGGAAAACACCATCAATCATATTCTCGGGTGTTTTTATGACCTTGGGCACTTAGAGAAAGGAAAAATATTTTTGTCAACCCATTTCTTTTTCAAATGTTCACGTGTTTCATAATCCATCCACTTTCATGACCTGCTGTTGTTTTTAATGCAACCCATGCTGCAGAAGTTATCAATTTATACCAATTATTCAATCACACCACTTCATGACCTTAAGTTAATCCCATCTGTGTCACAAGGGCTGTTGTGATAGGAACATATTGTAAAAAAGGCAATTCTTTATGAACACAGTCACAGGATTTCAGAAGCTGAAAATACACGGTTGTATATTTTAGCACAATAGTGTTTTTTCAGAACTGTGAAGCAGAAATGGACGACAGAAAATAAAATAAATTGTTCTAGTTAACTATTGATCTCATGTTTCATTCTAGATGGACAGCAATATTTCACTTTCTTAAAAGACATGGACACTTTTTGGTGCTCTACTCATTAAAATGAGGATTCAACAATGGTGATTTAATGTCAGTGGACTGGTTTCCAGAAAGAAATCTCTAACACATTTCTAATAGAAGCTATAAATATGTATTTATATGTATGACAACTGATGTAGAGTCTCGCTGTGAAAGTCTGTCCTTTTTTATTTGTCCATATCAACAAGGTACACTGTCAAATCTCTTGAGTTTAGTTGAGGTACACCTCAGCGTCATTGAGGACATCCTCTTTTTGATGGAAATAGTCTCTGAACCAGAAGATGTGCTCCTTTTTCTGCTCCACAGTCAGGTAAGGGTTTCTGGACAGACCGGCCACCACGAGCTCCATGAAGTGACGCACTGGTCCCTGACGTGGGAAACCCTCCTCCAAGTATTTCTCTAAGAAGACATGCTCATGGAAGGGAACGCTAGCTTCCTCCTCAAGGCCTGACACGGAGAGAGAAAAAAAATGGCAGCGGGTCCTTCGGGCAAATCTTATTTTCCCTTCTTTATGTAATGCAATTCAAATACGCCACTAATCACTCACCAACTTCATTGTTGATTGGATACTGCCACAGTTTGCCCTCTTTAGTCCACTGGATCATTTCATCAAAACTGTTAAGTGGCATTTGATTGGTTGACAGAGACAGCTGGTTTGCAAATTCCACATCCCACAGAGTTGGTTTAGCTGAAAACATTATATCAGTGTAATGAGTTAAACCCAAAAGAGTCAAAACTAATAGATTCTGTAATATGACAGCATTTTGTCAATGATGGAAACCCGCTCAAATGTCTAAGGTAGATCTACAACAAGACTCTTTGGGGTGAGGGTTACTGGGGCTCGATACCCGGATGGGGAGATGAACATGTATAAATCATAAATGCATAAACATAAATTTATTAGTCAAATTCTTAATACCCGGTGCCGATTCAACTGCAGTGACATCTGTAGAGGGCGCGAAGATGTTAAGTCTTTTTGCGGGAAACAAAGTCCTCCTAAAAAACGAAACACACTTCAAACACAAGCTCCTTCTTGAAAGATATCTAAATGAAAAAATTAAATGTAAGTTTTTACCTTTTCCGGACACTAGCCAGCTCACTGGTGATTCCTCTGTCTTGTGTGTATCCTCGTCCGTCATCATCAAACCGAATCTGATTGGCTGGCCAAGCATTCTGACGGCTGGTATTCTTTCCTACTTTCATGTCCGCAATAATTTCTCTGAGGAAACATTGTTTTTTGACGTGAATAAACCTTTTAATTTCCATCCAATTAGATTAATAAGCAGAGAAAAAATTGCTGCCTCCACTAACATGCAAATCTAAGGCACAACATACCCAAGGTTGTTCATGTCACCCTTTTTCTGCGCCTCGGTGAGCGCTTTGCGCTGCCTCAACTGCCTGAGCAGCTCCGATTCGGCCTGGCTACGGTTAGGAAGAGTGGAAGCAGCAGCAGATGCTGCTGCGGTCAAATCAGGATCCAACTCCTCACTAAAAAAAAAAAAAAAAAACAGAGAAAAGAACTCATACTTTCTCAAATGCAGATGCAAGTTACAACAAAAAAGACAAATCCGAAACAGAAAAAAAATGAAGTTGTGGTTGTGTCATCTTAAATTCATGCTGAGAAAAAAATGGAATGCAAATTTAGGAAAAAGAGACCACGCTAAAACAATGCAACGTTCCTCACCAACTTTTACGACTTTCCTACCTCTGTGACGAAGCCTCCTCTGTCGCCTTCTGAAACATGCTGATGGTGCTCTCCATAACTTCAGGCTTAGGTTTGTATTGTACAGCTGACTCTAAGCTTTGCTTTGTCTTCAGGTTTTTGAGCTTACGTTTACTTGTAACTTCCACTTTCATTGCTCCAAGAAGGTCCAGGAGATTTTCCTTCCCAATCTTAGCTGCAGCAGTCTTAACTTGGGCCTGCTTTGCCACTACCGGCTCGGCTGTAACATCTGTCTTTTGCTGTGGGGCCCCTCCACCATCTGCTTTTAACACATCTAACTCCTTTTTTGGATCGGTCACCATTGTTTCATCACACCCTTTATCTGAAATTGTTGTCTGATCTTGATTAACGGCAACGCCATCGTCTTTCTTCTCGCAGAGTTTGACTGTAGCTGTGCTGAAGGCATTTACTCCTCCTACATTTGGTGACCTGTGTAAAGTGAATAAAAAAGATTAAATCATCAAAGAGGACTTAATCATAAGTGCACAGATTAGGTAAAATCATAAGGACATCAAACAATGGATATTGTTATGAGTCATCAACATTTTTGGATGGGAACATATAGTACAGACAAAACATTTGCACATGGTATTTTAATGTCTGACGGAAGGAATTTAAGAGTATTGGAGAAACAAATAGAATTAAAAGTGAAAGACAATGCACAAGAAATGCATAACACTAAATATGAAATAGTAACACAGAGTAAGTCCTTTCCGATGTCATGGCTCTATCTTCAATTCCACGTTAGAGTTAGAGCAACGCTAACAAGAAACGTCAATCAAAACGCCACGCCCCGCCCCCCAAGTCCAAGTTAAGTAAGCTTAAAGCTAACTACAATTCCTTAAGCAAGAAAAAAATATCCTCGCCTGTCTTTCACACACAATGTGAATCTTTATCAACAATAAAGCGCTAAGAAACCATACGGTCGCTCTGTGCGACGGTCAATAGATGATACTTTTCATCATGCATGCTTCGTTCAGATCCAGCTGACACATCCAGACTCGGCTCACCTGAAAACCGTTTCACATTTAGCTGGTAAGGCACACAACTCGTAGACACAAACGGAAGGGTTCCGTGCCGCAATCACAGTCCTGGATAAGAATCGGTACATGTTTACTTCTTGAAATGTCCTTCCACGATCCTGACGTTCTCCTCCGGTGTTCCACCATAAGGTCACCCCGATAGACTTCAGGATAACAATAGTTCCGGCAGTGGATCAGATTGTTGTGTAAAAAGTTTAGTAGTTCATAAGGGAAGACTAACTTTTTATATTTTGGATGTAAAACTAGATACTTTTAGGGCATATATATTTACTATTGAAAACAAATCTCCATAACGTTTTCCACTAAATATAATCGATCGCTCTTGCTCTCATGCTCGTAATTATAGTCTCGCGATATCGCCATTGGGACGGTACTCAAAATGGCGTCAGATCATAAGCCCTAATTCACGAACGGGTGTCTCAGCTGCAGACCGGGACAAGTTAGAAATTTACATCACGATATGGATATGGAAAGAGAAGAAATAGCTTTGGAAAATTATTGTTGCTGTATACACTGATATCGCTTATCGTCTAAATACCTACATAAAGTCAGAAGGGAGAGGACAACTTCAAACAGGTAAAACGTCTACGGAAGCTAAGTTATTAGCATACAAGCTAACATACATAAAATTTAAGTGAATTGATTGTTCATATTAAGGATATATGCCCTAAACAAATGTTTTTCAAGAAGCCAGTTCCTTTGTTTTAAAATGAGGTTGACATTTTGAATGAATGTGCACGTTGTAATAGCTTGAGTGTTGCAAGTAGCCAGTTGTTCCGTCAGAGTGATTAACCCGCTCTCTGGGGAGCGCTGTAGGTTTGTTGACACATTTGAAATATTTCATCGAATAATCATCAGTCAGGGAAAATTCGGTTTATATTTTTTTATAGAATTTAAACAGTTTGATATTAAACGGTGACTAAATGTGATTTCTGACAGTTATGACTGATGTATTTATGGAGTATATTGTTAATGGCAATACAGATGAAAGCGTCCCCTTCTTGACAATTGTCCTGGACATTTACTTTTAATGGAAACACATTTTTTCTGTTTGTTGTTCTTTTAACTTTGCTCTTTTTCATTTTTTTGTCAGGTTTAATATAGAGATCGTTTCAGCCTCTCTCAAAAATGCATGAAAAAATAGAGCCATGGAACCTATATAAAGTTTCACTGTAGTTTTGTCACTGGAAATAGATTATATGCTCTATTTTGTTAGTCGTAAGTTTATTTTTGTTCTGTTGACGCTCGTTTTGGACATCTGAGGTCTATGTAAGGTATTACACCTCTTTATTTTGCCAGCCATGGCAGAGGAACGTCGGCAGAAGCAGTGCTCGGTTGTCCTGCCCACTGAGTCCATGAAGGCCATGGCAGAGTCTGTTGGAGTTGGGCAGTTACAGGAAGAAAGCTGCGTAGCCCTGAGTGAGGAGGTCAGCTACCGAATAAAAGAAATTGCTCAGGTAAAGAACTTATGGTTAAAAGGTGACCTTTGTCATTTTGTTTGCATGATTTAAACTTACCGTAGAAAACATTTTTAATATGTTTATGTTTTACATATATTATGCATGCACTTTTTGATTTCCTTCCCGTTTCCTTTAAAGGATGCTTTAAAGTTCATGCATCATGGAAAGAGACGGAAATTAACCACCAGTGACATAGACAATGCTCTCAAACTAAAAAATGTGGAGGTAAGGGACAATATTTTTGAGTGAATTTCATCATGAAGTCAGAAATATGCGCTTTCATGATTTTTTAAAAATTATTATTTTCTTTTAGCCCCTGTATGGGTTCCAGTCGCAAGAGTTTATCCCTTTTCGCTTTGCAAGTGGTGGTGGAAGAGAGCTTCATTTCTATGAGGAAAAGGAGGTCGACCTTAGTGACATTATAAACACACCGCTCCCCAGAGTTCCACTAGATGTCTCTCTCAAAGGTAGCCAAATGATCAGGATTGTTAACCATTGTACACCATTATACTTTTCATGTCCTTTTTTGCCAGCTGTCAAACAATCTTTGTGTTTTAATCCTTAGCCCACTGGTTAAGTATTGAAGGAGTTCAGCCTTCAATTCCAGAAAATCCACCACCAGGTTAGCGCTTTTAAAAAAATGTTTTTCATTTGTCTTTGTAAAACCCCCCAAAAGCAAAAAAATCCCAAAACAACAACTCTGCTTTGCAGCAACTAAAGAGCAACAGAAGACTGAATCCACAGAGCCCCTCAAAGTTGTCAAACCTGGTCAGGAGGAGGATGGGACCATACAAGGCAAGGGTCAGGGTGCAGCAGCTCCAGATGGAAAAGGTCCGTGTCTTGTTTCACTTTGTGTTCAGGTTTTATCCACAGTCTCTCTGTCCAGCTCCCTGCCTAACTCCCATCATTTTCTCTATCTATATATTTTTTCTATGTCCTTTAGGAAAGGAGAAGGGTCTGATCAGGTTGAAACCGCGCAGCACTCATGAACTGTCTGTGGAACAGCAGCTTTACTACAAGGAAATCACAGAAGCATGTGTCGGCTCCTGTGAAGCAAAGAGAGCAGTAAGTCATTTTCAGACATTTAAGGGCTCTTTATGTATGGTCAGCCACAGAATAGATGTTTTTCCTAACGTCCTGTTGTTTTAAAAGTATATGAACCTATAGCATTGCTATCTTAAAAGGAAATGCTCCATACCAACATAATTCTGCCAGGTTATCAAAAGTCATTTTAACCATTTTGTCCGTGTGATTTTTGTTTAACAGGAAGCCTTACAGAGTATTGCTACTGATCCAGGACTTTATCAGATGCTTCCAAGATTCAGCACATTTATTTCCGAAGGAGTAAGCATGTTTCCAGCCTCCCTAACATTCAGAGACATGACTCAGTCATCACTGACTGCGCTTACCCAAACATTTCTCAGCTAAAAGTATTGTGTGTGTGTATGCTTTCCTTAAAGGTTCGTGTAAATGTGGTGCAAAACAATTTGGCTCTGCTGATTTATCTCATGCGGATGGTCAAAGCTCTGATGGACAACCCCACCCTGTACTTGGAAAAATATGTAAGGACAAGTAGTACAATGTTGCGTTTTCATTTTCAAATGGATGTATTCTTAAAAAAAACTGTGATCGTGCTCGTAGCTCCATGAGCTCATTCCAGCAGTGGTCACCTGTATTGTGAGCAAGCAGCTGTGTTTGCGACCAGATGTGGACAACCACTGGGCCTTGCGAGATTTCGCCGCTCGCCTGATGGCTCAGAGTTGTAAAACATTCAGTACGACAACCAACAACATCCAATCCCGTATTACCAAGACTTTTACTAAGGTGGGTTTTTCTGTGTTCTCGTTTAAACTTTGAAATGAATGTATCTGGTCTGATTGAAAGGGTCCGAACACAAGTTTATATGCTGAGACTGATTAGTGACAAAACAGCAATACTTCTATTGAGATTACAGTTTACAGAATTCAGATACAGTGTTTCTATAACATACTACATGCAGTACGCCCTTTGCTGCCACTCTACACATAGTAAAGCAGGCTGATGTCTTTTTTCCAGAGCTGGTTGGATGAAAAAACCCAGTGGACGACGCGATACGGCTGCATAGCTGGGCTTGCTGAACTGGGGCCTGATGTAAGTGAGATTTGTCCTGTTTCTCCCTGAGCCATTGATACCAGCCCCTCACTCTTGTCCTCCTTTTGCCCTCTAAAGGTGATAAAGACGCTGATCCTTCCTCGGCTTACTGTAGAGGGTGCTCGCATCAAAGCGGTGATGGAAGGACCCGTGGTCTCTAATATTGACAAGATAGGAGCTGAACACGTTCAAAGCCTATTACTGGTAATAAATTGAGTTGTGCCACTATTTTGTGATATTTGTCAATTGAAATGGTCCAAAAAAATGCTCAGCTGCATTTACATTGGTAGTAACCAGTTTATTACCTTTTCGAAGAAACATTGTGCCAGTGTTATTGCCAAGATACGAGCGCAGCCGGACATCGTGGAGCAGTATCGGACAGACTATGGCTACCTCGGACCCATGCTCTGCTCGCATGTGATAAAAGCCAGAACCCAAGCAGCGCTGCAAGCTCAGCAGGTCAACAGAACCACATTAACAATCACTCAGGTACACTTCCTACTTTACCGAGATGAGTATTCTTTAAATGGACGTGAATGCAGTCATTTGAGTGCTGATGTCAGAAAACCTCTACGCTGCTGTTTAACAATGACCGATGACACTTCTCGCAGCCTCGTCCCACCCTGTCTGTTTCACAAAGTGGACTAAGTGGGTCAGGAGGGCCTCGCACCCCCAGCATCATTAAAGTTCCCAGCTCCCTCACTCTCATGTCCCCGAGACCTGGCACCCCTTCACAGCCGTCCCCTCCGGCAACAAAGTATATAGTAATGGGAACCAGCGCAGGAGCTGCCTCAACTCAGCAGGTACTTGGTTTTTGTTTTGTTTTTTTGCTTTATACATTCATCAAAGTGTTTCTGTTCAGCCCCGTCACAGCAGGGAATATTTCTGGACTTAATTTCATTTCGAAGTTATGGATAGAAACCTTTTTCTAGGAATTTGCAGATGTATGAATTGATTAAAACTCTATTCCTGCTTAATGCAGGACACTAATGGAGCAGGTTTTCATTGTTAGCTTAACGGGACTGGTGCTGGGTGTTTTTTTGCTTTAGGTGATCACTCTTAGCTCTTCCCAGTCAGCTTCACCAGTAACGAGCACTGTTCCCAGTGCAACCTCAACTCTTCAACCTCTGGTTAAACTGGAGTCGGGCAGTGCTCCTGGACTGACGGCCTCACGCCCCATGCAGAAGTACATAGTCGTATCTCTACCATCGTCCGCCTCCTCCTCTTTGGAGACAAAGAGCTCTGTGCTGCCGACCTCCATTTCCTCAACTCCGCTGGACGCAGGGATGAAGCTGGAGCGGTCCGAGTCTCCGGGGGCGAGCACACAGTCGCCGCACTGATTCCTATGCAGCCGCTGCACACGCATGGAGATTAGTCTGGACTCAACCTAAAGGGTAAACCGCGCAGCACCATGACGTTTAGTATGTGAACTCTTGACTAATAAAGAGCCATTGTGACCAGACTTTGTAAATATCTTAAAATCCCACGAAAGCCGATAATCTGTGAGATCTTCAGTGTTTCGTCTTATATTCTAACCGATTTCATTTTTTTTTTACCCTAAAATAAATCAGATTTTGTATGGAAATGCTGTCTTTTTTTCTTTGGAGATTCCTGTGATATTTTAAAAAGTACATTTTTCTTTTTTAAATGTTTGGCATCATCAAATCCCAATGTCTTCTCTATACATATAGTGAAATCCATGCTGGCCAGCAAGTAGGATGTTACATGAAACTTAGATATTTATAGACTTTTAATTCATATTTAAAAATGCGTGTCACTGCCATCTAAGGAAGTCACCCTACATCCATCATTGGGGGAGAGGCGGGGTGCGTCCTGTGCAGGTCACAGAGGGTAACATCAACTCTTGCTTCCTGCAAATGCTTCAGAACTAAAGAGACAACTTCATGGACCTTTGGTCAAATGTTGGCTGCTCAACGGTCCCCTGTCTTATTTCCTGTTTCAAGAAAGACCAAACTTAGCCAGGGATCTGATTAGTTCAGCATTTGGACTCTTCCACTTTAAAGCTGTTTTACCACCATACAGGTCCCAGTTTAGTGTTGGATGGCTGAAAAAGAAAAGGTCTTCCATGAAAAAGGTAATCTGTTTGGGAGCTCATGTCACAATGTGAACAGCCAGTCGCTGGAAACAGTGCTGCTTCTGAGGTCGATCGTTTTCTGATCGGAATCCTCCGTCATATTTTGAAAGGACTCCACAATGCTTCCGCTTCCTGTCTGCTGATGGGTTTTTTTTTCTTCCTTCGGGACTGAAGGGGTAGCAACGTGGACTTGAACGTAAAACTCAGCAAGACAACGAACGTTTCTGCTTCTTCAAACATGCATTTTAGAATACGAGCCGCTACAAAGGAGGACTGCAAAGACATATCGAGGATGATCATGGTGAGACACGGCGCGAGCCCAGTGCGCGAGACGCCTCAAGTCAATCCAGTTCTTTCTCTTGTCACACGATAAAAACACTTGCAGGAGCTGGCCGTTTATGAAAAGATGCCCGACCAGGTGAAGATATCCCATGAAGGTAATTCTACTCCAATAACACAATCAAGCTGTTTTATTCATTCTAAAAACGGGGGGTTAATAAAGAGTGACTAAAAGAAGGGAATAAATCTAGGAATCTCAACAATAAAGTTAATGTTTCATAGACATTTTTACAGGCTTTAAAAACAATTTTGGATCAACTTAATCAAATGTATTTGTGTCAGTTTCATTAATGAATGATGTCACCAACATTAATCCTCTGAAATTAACCTGTTTGTTTCCTGCTACACAATGAAAAATGTAAGGTTTATTCGGATTACACAACTCTGTTAAGTTAACTTTGAAGCAATACCAAGAGCGTAGGTATTACAGACCCTCCTGTCAAACATTAATTATACACAAAAGTGCAGTGAAGGTCCGGGCAGGCTGAGAATGGAGGTCCTTTTGTGTTGGAACAAGAGGGTTAAACTGTAGTTGTAAAGACACTACAAGACCCAAGCGCATAATAGGCTTTTAACAAAGCATTTCGGCCTGGAAAACAGCTTCTTGTCTCATTTCCCCCCAACGTTTCCATCAATCACACATGCATTTTTATTTGTGTTGCTTTAGAACTGGAGCGTGATGGTTTCTCCCAGAATCCCTTCTTTGAATGCCTTGTTGCAGAAGTTCCAGAGGAGCACAAATCAGAAGGAGGTAAGTGGCGTTGCCTTCCATTGTTGTCTCAGATATTATAAATCAGATACAGAAGGTGCATGCAGACACCATTCACATCGCCTCATCCTTGAAAATTCATTTAGGGTCAGGGGGAGGATTTTAATACTTTTTCTCTTTGTAGGATTTACGGTGGTTGGCTATGCCCTTTATTTTTACACCTACAGCACCTGGAAGGGCCCATCAGTTTATTTGGAAGACCTCTACGTGATGCCAGAATACAGAGGTACTATATGTTGTTAGATATCAACAAAACCAGAGCAAAAATGCTGTAAAAAATATGCTTTATTTAAATTTTCTTCAGGTTCTTGTAAAAGCACATCCAGATTTATTTCTCTCAATTGTCTTTATAATTACCTTACATTTTTTTTGTTGAATGTTTTATCATTTTCTCAATAGGAAATGGAATTGGCAAAGGTTTACTGTGCAAGGTTGCAGAGGTAAGATTGTTTTTCGTCATGCTTTGGCTTGTGGTGCGGCGGCTCATGAGATGATGCAGCTGCGAAGGGAATCATTTTAAACGCCAATGTCGAATCAGACGTTTTTATGCGTATTAGCTTTTTTTTTGTTTTTGAAGGTGGGGAAAAAGAAGCAGTGCGTACGGCTGCAGCTGTCTGTGCTGAACTGGAATACTCCCTCTCGAGACTTCTATGCTGCTAAAGGAGCTCAGGACCTCACGGTCAGCGAAGGCTGGCACTTCATTCGCTTTGAGGGCCAAAGCCTGGATGATTTAGCAAATGAAGCACCTAAAGATTAGACGGCCGCTGTAGCGGCTAAAATCCAGTATTTTAGGCTACTGGTTGTTGACTTTAAAAGGGTGTTGGTCTTACGTGTGCTCTGTTTAGAAATCCGGATGCCAGTCTTTGGTTTGATTTATAATAAAGATGTTTATTGTTTGCATAATGTCCATTTCCATATTTCCATTGTATTTCACCTATATTCTGCCATCGAAATCAACCAGCAACACAGTAGAAAACTGTTGCCCCTTCTTAACAACAACGCCTGAAATCAATCACGGCAGCCCTTAAATAACCCATCCCTCATTAGACACAGAACTCAAAATGAAAAACGCCCCCTGGTGGCGATAAACACAAAAAAGGATAAATGGCTCCTACAGCCGCTTCAAATCAGTCACATGTCTTATATTTAACGTTCACCGTGGTTGTAATTTTTAGTAATCTGATCTCTGAAACCTTTGCTGGTGGTTTTTAGTGTTACAGCATTTTGTGTTTGCTCGTATCATTTTTCAAGAATATTTGATTCATCTCTTACTCGTTCGCTTTGACCCAGTTCGATATGTGATACCATACAAATCCAGTAGATGGCATCAACATGCAAGTTAGAAAGTACTAAGGGCTCTAGAAAGCCAAGTACCAACGATAGTCTGTCCTGCTGCATTCTGAGATAACTGATTAGTGTAGAGGAATGTTAAAAACTGAACGGGAAACAGAAATAAAGAGTAGTTAAATTTATGCAGTTATTAAAGTCTTTGGTTTGTGGATCGACTGCACCTAATGTCTTTCAGTCAAATATTGAAAACAATCTCTATGAAGTTATGGTCAAAAGAAGTTAAATCATAGGGGCTCATGATATGCAAGGTAATGTTTTCAATCTCTCTTAAAAATAAATTCCACAAAATAAAATAAATCTTTCTGCTTCCCTTTGTTTTAAATCAAGGACTTTAATTAGAATAGGAAGACAAAAGTACAAAAACCACTGATTGGCACCCATCAGGTGCTGAGGTTGTAAAACCATTTCATGGATCTGTATACATTCACTATTCCTGGTTACAGCTACTGACAAATATAAAGAAAGATCATTAACCTCTTGATAAGACAATATTAAAGCATAAGGCATCAAATATAAACAGGGTATAATTTTTTATATTAAAAAAAATTGAGAATTCATAATAAAAAAGCATTTTATATTGATAAAAAATGTACATACATCAGCGCAACTGTGAAAAAAATCAAAAGGATGATATTATTACACGTCATGTCAAGTCCTACAGCTCTCAAAAAGTGGTTAAAAAAAGATTTTTTTAAAGAAAAAGTGAATTTGTTAATATACAGATGAACATAGACACTGTAAAAGGCAAAAGTAAATATACAAATCTAATCCATTAATCTTGACTGCTCATTGCATTTAATATTTATTAAAAAAAATCATTCTTTATTCTCTTGTAAAGCATGAAATGTGTCTCAGCGTGCACTCAGACGTAGGCATTTCTCCCATAGTTGCTCGGTGGAGGTTGAGACATCGACACAGTGGACAGCACATGGCCTCTGGAGGGTGGCTGGTATGGATAATAGCTGAGGCACATAATATGCGTTTAATTTAAGAGAATATAAACCAGTTTTACAATGAATTTAAGGCATTAGGCGGATACTCACGTTTTTTCACTTGTCGACTTGAGTCTGCACGAGCACAGCAGGCAGGAGCCTCCACAGATGGCAAGAATCGCCGAAGCCCAGCCGATGTACAGGCCCTCACCGATCTCATACCTGTGATAGAGTAAAGTTAAACAAACACGTCTAGATCCCATAAACCGGAGCAGTATCTACTAATTGTTCCCTGAGTTTCACCTCTCTGAATCATCGATGCAGCTCATGTGGACTTACTTTGTTCCCATGTAAAGCTGGTTGAAGAACTCCTGTGTGATGTTGGCCGCATACCAAGAGACGGCAATCATGGTGCAAATCCCTTTGTATCACAAAAGCATGTCAACATTAGTCAAGTTCGATATCGCTACATAAACAAATATAACTCACAAAAGAAAACGAAGGTAGGGTTCTGTAAAATATGCCACTTTTAAACAAGGTTTAAACAGCTTAATTCATCTACAAGATTAAACAAAGGTGCCTGCAAGCAGATGTATATCATTATTTCTTCCAGTTTTTGGCAAAATCACCAATTTCAGCATGAATCAGTCAGTGATGGACATGTATTATACAATTCAGAACCGTTTGTTAATAGGTTTATTAAGAATTTTGTTCTTGGAACAGGCAGGTTTGTTAGGTTAAGGATAACCTTCTTAACTGGTCAGCCATTTGCTGATAGCTTGTCTTCTGTACACAGAGATTAGAGCAGCAGACATGTTTACTAACCAAGGTGTTTCATGGAGAGATAAGGTCAAGGTGCTTTTTCACATAATGAGATATTTGAAAAAAAAAAAAAAAGTATATGAAATTTGAAAAAACAACATTTTGTTAAAGGTATTTACCTTGGAGTAGAAAGAATACTCCGCCAATTGCTGCAATTCTCCCCTTGAGAATGTAGTTCTCCCCACATATTTTGGAACACTGCATTCCAACAAGACTGGCCGCAAGTCCAAATGTCCCAAACACGATGGCAGCGATCATCAGTGCTCGGGAGGCCTGAATATATCCTGTGTAAAAAAAAACGTTAATGCATTATTTTTGGTTTTTAAAAACTGGATGGAGACTCAGTTAAAACCTACCAATCAATTTATTGGACCAAGTTGACAATCATTTTATCATCATGGTTTTGACTTTTATTACATTTCACACTGAAAACATAGTTCACCACCAGACCTGTTTGACATCATCACATTAGTGGAGACACAAAAGGAGGCTCTAATGTTGGTGTAGGTGGTGGAGACACTTTCTTTCCTATAAGGCAACAACAGGGGTATAGATGTGTGCCCCCTAGTGGATCACTGATACAGTCGAAAGTAATCTCCCAAGTTTTTGTTCACGGTCAAGGTGTGTTTCATAACAGCAGTTGAAAATGTTGATCTTAGGACTGTTTTCAAGTTCATATTGGACATTTTTCCACTTGTTTTTAGTCTTTGTTTGAATTGTTTTTCTCAAATTTACAAGTAAATTAGATAAATGAACAAATAGATTATCAACATTTAATGCCATCATATAACCACTGTAACATCCAGTATAATGTGACACATTGTATGTAGACATAGTTGTAACATAATGGAGAGCCTTATGCCAAGACCTTCTCGATCACAACTTCTCACGCCAGAGGTTGGAAATGAAAAATGTTCCCGCCACGATAAAGCGAAAACCTGGAAAATATGAGATTATCTTGGGGGTTAATGTCAAGTCAGGGCCTCATCCTTTATGCCGTATCATCCCTGTTAACCACAGATTAACACATTCGAAAACTTTTGTCTACACAACTCCATCTGGATCAAGTCAAAGTACACAACGCTTTTTTCACGTTCAGGTTCCTTTTCATTACCAGATTACATCCTAAAGGTTATGGATCCTTTCTAAAAGTGTGCTATTACTATACACCTTCTGTTACCCATCCCTAAAGTTTCAGTCAAAGTTTTTAAGGGTAAAGTCTTCTTTTACCAGTGTTGCAAATACAAAAATTAAACCTTTTTTTCCTGTGTTGGTCACATACCATTTAGGGCCAGCAGAGACGGAAAGTCCCGGCAGTTGTGAACTCCGGTTGAGTCAGTAGCACAGGACATCCACAGATTCTCATAGATTGTCGATGTGGTGATAACGTTACCGTCCACAGAAGACTCTCTCCAGTATCGATTTGGAAGGGCAACCCCAACCATGATCCAGCCAACAAAGCCCAGAAAGCAAGCAAAAACCTCCACTATTGGATTCATTTCTTCTTAGGTCTATAGCTCTACTAAAAAAGATGAGCTGAAAACACTTACGGTACTATAAATGTTTGCCCTCAAAGCTTTTTTCTCTCAAATGCAAAAATTTGTTGGCCACGCAGCTTCAGCAAGCCAGACCAGTTCCCACCAATGCCCCAAGTAAAGTGCAACAAAAACCTAATAATCAATTATTAATTCCTAGTACCCCACTTATGATTTTGCCTGTTGTTCTCGGTCCTATTGAGTCTTTTCAGTCTTATGTTTACCCAACTTACAGGACAACAGAGAGGCAAAGTCGAGCCTTCAAACCTAGGCACCAACGTCTATATACTTAAAGCCATGTATCACCATTAGTCATTTGCTTTCAGCAATGTGTCAACATGATGAAACAATAACCGATGAGATTAAGCTCATTGACTCTTTACTTCACTCAGCGTCCAAGGGATGATGGGAAAGTTTGCGGCACCTAGAGGTGAACGTGGGCCACCATATACTGACCCTAAGATGACCAGATATGCTGATTGAGTATTTGCTTGTCTAACAACCCAGAAGGCTTTCATCATTTTGATGAAGTTGATGCTTTTTACAGAGGTCAGGTTCAGCTTTTGGTGATGTCTTGTAGAGAGAGCAAACCAAAGGATCCAAAAGAATAATTCATGTTTTCCAATATAAGCATGATTAATTTCCCTCAGTTGTTTAAGGCCTATGGACTTCCTTAAGGACACAGTTATGACACAGTAGTAAATTATATGGTGTTAATAGAAATACACATCCAGCAAACAAGTGAAGTACCATTTATAAAGCAAGAGTAAACCACATGATTTATTGAAAATCCAGAATGGGATTATTATTAGCGAAATGCATATCAATTTCAAAATGCCTTAAACAGTATTCCACATAGAACAGCAACTCTTTTTAGCTGCTCAGTTATGGAGAAATAGTCAATGCCTATGTATCTATCTGTTTAATCTGTGGGGGGTTGCTTTAGTCAGACAAAAGAACACATCACACCCCATTTACAATCCCTATCTCACAAGTCTAGTCTCAGAAACATCTGTGCAACTGATGTAAACTTTTATTCTATATTCATTAAAGGTATTTGTCCCAATCTTTGTTGATATATTGGTTTGAATGGCAAAAATACTACCATCATTACTTTGGTTAAGAAATAATTTGGAATTTTTAAAGCAATTTCTATATTTGATATAATACTAATAATATAATTTGTATATCATACTTGGTAAATTTAATACCAAGTAGACCTTGGAAGAAAGTTGCACTTCGCCAATATCACTGTCGATTGGAAAGTGCCCTCTCAGCTATTTGATACTGCTGAATCATCAGAATATATTTGAACATAAATTGTAATTTGAAAATGATTAATATACTATATATATATGTGATGATTTTGTTTTATTAATAACCATAATTAGTAACAAACATTAGATACAGAAAATAGTGACGTATAGGTCTTTTCTATGCTCTTTCTGTGTACAGTGCTATTTTAGAATGATCTATTTGACAGTTTATTTTACTCACCTGGCAGAGCAAAAAGGGATGGAAAGTCACGGCAGTTATAGATCCCCGTGGAATCACTTGCACAAGACATCCACAGGTTCTCGTAAATGGTAGAGGTTGTAATTACGCTCCCCTCTGTGGTGGACTCTTTCCAATACTGGTCTTCTAGTGATACGTAAACCATAATCCAGCCAACAAAGCCTAAGAAAAGTGCTATAACCTCAGTGATCTCTTTCATCTTGTCTGTAATTTTCTATTAATAATTAAATGTCAGAGATAGTAACTGCTTTGTGAGCTCTAGTCGTAGCTTCTGTATCTGATATACATTTTGGAAGTGTGAGAACTGACTGATTTTTTGCTCATGTGGTCAAACCTAGACTAATTTGAGCATTGATTTGCTGGCTGTAGCTACATTTTAAGTCTGCTATTCCCGCCCAAAATTGATGACATTTCACTTGCCTGGCAAATTGCCATAAAAATGTAATTATAGAGTGAACCTTTTTTTTCCTTGGGTTGGAGAGATCTTTTTTCTCAACAGCTGACACGAAACTGATTTTTAAAAAAGTTGTTTAAGGTTTAGGACTATTGTGAATATTTAATATTGTTTTTCCTTTCACATATATTTGAAGAACCACCTGATTTAACAAAATAATCCAAACTTTCAAAAGCCACAAAATAACTTTGGACTCATCATGGGACAATATCTGACAAATCACAATTAGGTTTATGATGTAATTAAGCATTTGGAAAAGATTAAATGGTAAGGCATTCCCATTGGAATGTGGGTTAATTCTTAGGAAAAGCCTTTAATTTGCTTTTATCTGCTTGCCCATCTGCCTGGATACACCTTTGAGGAATTAATTGGTAGCTAGTAATTTTAAAGAGGCTATTTCATGTTCCATAAGCAAATACTTATGAAGAAATACTGAACTAAGGGCACAGCCAACACAGAAAACTGGATGAAGTACTTGAATGATTTATTGGCGGTAGAAAAAGTCTCTTTAAATACTGGTTAAACTTTAACAAGGTTATGGGAGGACAAAAGATGCCTTGGAATCATTGGTCTCTGTAAATGCATTTTCTTTCCTTTCCTTTTTTCCCCTTCTTTTGCCTAAGCATATATAGATTTAATAGCGATGTCTTTTCTGTTAAAATACCATTGTTGACTCAGTACAGTGCAGTACTGAATCTGGCCAAAGGCCACCTTCTTCAAACACACTAGTATAATTAATTAATCTTCTATAAATATGTACTGAACTTATGGCCATGTTAAAAAAATCAATAATAGCCATGTATGCTATATTGTCCTATCCGTATTTCATACCTGCACAAATATTTCCGGCAGTGTGGGATTACATTTTTAAAAAGTGACATTTTTCACGTCTAATTTTGTTTGGAACAAACAAATTTAATCGATGAGAAATTCCTAAACCATTTATAGTCTGTATCTTATAACCTTTGAATTCTCTTGTCACCCAGCCTTCATAAGTACAGTTCAAAGGGCTATCTTATACAGTGCTTACAGTATTTAATAGGCATTCATGTTTTAAGTTATAATCTTGTGTCTGTTAATATTTTATTTCCTTGCCCTTCTTTCAGTCAGTTGAAATATTTATCCTCTTGTGTCCGCATTGACCTCCCTCCTTAAAGGGGAAGCCTGTAATGAACAAATTTGCCTTATTTTCTTTTTCTTTTAATGTCCTAAGATATCACTGAAAGTTTCTTTGTCCAGCAGTATTTAATGAACTGCAGATTCTATTACATTTTTAATCTTTCAAAAACCTCTTTCACGTAAGCTTTTAAAAGCTGGGATGGATGTATCCTTGTTCATCATGTCGTCTGTGAAAGTACAAAAATAGATCCACCACCAATGTTGGCAAGGCAGGTTTCTGAGACACTGAGTCCTTTCACACATCAAGCCGACAAGGACATAGTTTTTTTCACTTTCAAGAAATAACATGTTTTTCCATCCATGCACTTTTTTTAGGTGAAGAACCAGCATATCTCTTTCCCAAACAGTTCCTCTGCAGAGGGCCCAAGATGCTCCCCAGTTCAGGTGGGATATATAAACAAAAAGATATGACCAGCTCTTTAATCTAGAAAATAACTGTTTCCGTCATTTTCAATAATGCCTGTTTATGCTGAGTTTTTTATATAAGTTTACACAATCAAGAAGTCTTAAATGGTAGGAATTATTTGTCTGCAAGTACAAAGCTGATACCTCCAGCATTTTCCTGCAATTATACTGGAATTAAATGCTTCATTTTTTGTTGTTTGAAGCCAACAACAATTTCAATGAAAAATAATTTGTCAGCGGTTGTGTCTGAACTCAAACACAACGATCTTATTGTCATTCATTCAACATGCTCACTTAAAAATCTATGTTGCATTTTGTCAAGTTGAAGTTTATCAACTGAAAAGTGGATGTGAAATACGATCTTATATTAAACTCATAGATTAAATGGACACATCTTTTCTGCAGGATCCATTTTAAACATAGGTAACTCAAGCCAGAGGCACATGTATTTGGAATTAACTGTAACTAATGCTTTACTTCAGCAACAGTCACATCCAATAACACAGGTTTTGCTGTTTATTACAAGGATTTCATTCTGATTATAACCTCAAAAATTCTTTACTGTCCTCCACTGAGTTAAAAGTAGACTTTTGAGTCAATTGTGGGTTTGGGGAGGTGACTTCAGCAAACACGGTATCAGTAATGTTACCTTTGTTTGACTTTGAACAGTCGGTATTTGATCATTCAATGTTAATTTGTCCCAAAGCTTAGAGCAAATCTTTCTTTGTCCCACACAGAAAGACAAACTGCACAAATACTTAAAAAATCAGTGAGTCGAATCGTGGACTAATACAAATGTGTTAATCCGGTGCAATAGTTAGGCAAATACTACAGGCAATAGTTACGATACAGATGTGTCAGCTTTTTGTTACAGAATGCAAATGCAAACTAAAAATGCAGATGTGGCACAATTTTGTAGAATCAACAACTGGATGCTTTCAGTTGCCCTGTCAATATGTATATATTAACACTACTCGGAGCACTTGGTGTAATTAAATTAATTCATACACCAAATGGCAGCATAATAAAACAGTTTTACTCAGTATCCATACCCAGACTCTTTTAGACTAAGTGTGAAAACCTCCTCAACTTGCAGCATCACTGCAGTGACGCTAGTAACTCAAAGTAACTCATTTGACGCAGTGATAACTTTTGAAGTGGCTGTGTGGTGGATGGCATCCATGTTTAAGCAGTCATAGACCCACACTGCATGCACAGTAACACAAGGCAATCCAGGAATTATGATGTCTTACTCTAAATATTGCTGTTGGCAACAGTTTAAAATGAGCAAAGTTACATGAACTGATGTGTTGTGATTATAGTTTTTGTGAAAATGTATATTTTTGTTGTGTATTGCTGTCCATTGGAAGTGATTTACATGTTTTCAAAACCAGGAAGTAACTACATTATTGATAAAGGTATATTCTTTCGGAAAGAGTTCATAAGTTATAGAATAACCTGCAGAGCACTATCATACATTAAAGCAGAAAAAAATGTTGACACAACAATTACTCAGCATAGATAAAGAGGTTATTTATATCAACATACAAATTATTAGTGCTGTTATCTTTATCGTCAGACTTCAATGACAAAATAACTTGTCTACGTTTGCAAAAGTCACTCATATAGATTATATTGAGCTCTATCCACCTGTCTGGCCCAAAGCCTAGAAACAATTCCCACATACTGGAATACAAAGACATTAATGTGTAAATGTACATGCGATCAAGCACACTGTATTCAAAACTTTGGTTTGCGACTGGTGCAATCGTGTCATTGCGTCTTGATTGGATACTTTTATCTTTATCATACAAAATATCTGTCTTATCATTAATTTAATTCATTGCATTAATTGTCAAAACAATGCAATTAAAGATATTATGACTAAAATATCTTTACATTATCTATCGTCAAAACAACCCCATCTACATTCTATTCCAAATATAGGTTTTATCTGTATTTTGTTATCCAATATTTTGTATTAGACATATTCAGTATGTAATATTTTCTTATTATTTTCATTAATGTGAATCATTCAGTGTTCCTCAGAAATATATAAAACTAATGAATTTAATTCAGATATTATCAACAAGTAAGATATAGCTTTTATACATGTGTATTGAAAAAGAGTTTCTACATAAAAATTGTACTTTTCTTTTTTGCTCTTTCTCCACCTCTGAATCACAGTAACACACATGCTCCACCTTTTGTTTCCACAAAATCTGGATTAAGGTCATTCGGCAGCTTGTCATTCTCTCCCCAAATGTTAATTTCTCCAAACACGCCTGTCTCGATCATCTCCTCCTGCCAAGGGATTGGGATGTTGCCGGAAGCAAAATCGTTGTAAAACTCTGTGTCTTTGTAATCAAGGACCACCCCTCTGACTGTGCTGAAGGCTCCCACGTCATCAATATCCCTGGCATAGACCATTTTAGGTTCAGGGACAAATGGTGGAGGTAGCATACCTTGAGGCCTTGAAAAAGCTAATTTCTATTTTCCTATTGATGATTTTGAATGCCACCTGCGTCCAAACGGCCCCAGTTAATATCTTGAAAAAATGGCTGATTCTTGAGCTCTGTGCAGTCGTTATTTTTTAGCCCTAGACGTTTCGCTGGGTCCTTCTCCATCAGGCCGTCACAGAGGTCTTTGCATTTCTTGCTGAAACTTGTTGAGTAAGAAACTGGATCATTCAAGATCCTACGAGTCTTGTCATCATTGCCCACCTTATGAAACAAGAAAACGAGTCATGTGCCAGTTGACACAGCAGCGAACAATAATCTAAATGGAGGAAATTCTGTTGGTAATTCCAGAGAGTTTTAGTTTTTCTTTTATCAATAGCATGATGATGCTTATTTTTATATGTGGCTGGATTACATTTTAGGCTGGTAAGCAGACATGAGAGGACGGTTCTCACATGTTGCTACCCAAAATGACATTTATTCACCCATTTATTTATGAATATATTTCCTGTATTGAGTGCTTCTGAGCATCACCTGAGATCTCCACCATTCATGATGGTCATAACCAGGCAGAGGTCGGTGTCGGTCTGGAAGGAGTCAGCCAGCGTCACAATGAAGCGACTGTGAACCTTTGCAAGGATACGCTTCTCCACGATCGCTCTATAGACACAAATCAAATATCAGCATTAACTGAACAGAACCAAAAGGTAGTTTCAGGCAGTCCCACGCCCTTTTCCTGCAGTTTCACCTCACAGGTGTTCTGCCTCAGTTACCTTGAAACTCTTAAAAATGACACGTCAAACACAAGTGTTTGCATTTCATATAGTTCTGAAAAGCTCATGGACACTTTTAAAAAATGTTTTCCTACTTAGTCACCACAATGAACTCAACTTTTGTCAACCTCTAATTTACACAGACTTTCTTTTTGTGTAATAAATATGATGCGTCAGCTACATTTACATTTACACGTTAAAGGGAACCACGGGTCCAGTCTGACATTTGTTTGTTGTTTTTATTTGTTTTTATTTTTTACACAATTGGGTCTTAAGACACAAAAGGCAATATCTAAAAACAAAGTTATGTTTTTTAACCTGCACATTGAAAAATGCAATCTCCAATGAATTAAATAATGAGGGCAAAATATTTCTGAGATGATCCAATAACCATGGCTTGGGTAAACCCATCCAGGAAATGGTTTTAGACTATTCCAAGAATTACAAGGGAAAGTCCATTCTTCAAAGTGTCAGCAGTGTTCATGTAGTGAGAAGAGACATCACGTCCAACTCTGAAATAAGTGAGCTGCTGTCTGTTCAGTACTGTCTCCAGTTGCTTTTTCCTTCTTTGTGTTCGTTTGAGGTCGCCATGAGGACGATCATAACTAAATATGATTGATTGTGTGCTTCTTGGTGGAACGTTGAATGCCATCAGTGCTGTACCTCATAGCCTTTGCGTTTCTTCAGCCTCTTGTTCTCCAGCTTCTTTTATGGTTCGGATCACTTTCCAGGGACTGCTGGAACAGGCGCCTGCCGATGGGCTGTTTTGACACACATGCTGTCAAAGGTTGTGTCTACACATGCCTTCGTGTGCTCGCAGTGTCTGATGTGTGGGAGCTTCAGCCTGGCACGCATCTTCTTGTCACGCATAACGGCCGCTGCGCACCCATCCATGCTTCCACGTGCCGAGTTAGGCAGAGTTTGCCACCACGGCCTCCAAACCACCTATATCCTTGGCTGCACTGTGGTCAGGCACAAAAAAAAAGAAGAAAACAGGTACAAAAAGAAGAGTGCTGACAATGTCTCTATTTGATCGCATTTATTCAATATAACCATCAACTGTGCAAACTTTTTTTTTAATCTCTTTTTTATGCCCCTTTTTTTTTACCCCTGGTTGCATTCTGGTTGCAAATCCCAGTAACATGACTTTTGAGTATAGTGCTTTATCAACAGTCAGTCATCCATTAAAACAGTCTGCAATGTTCATAGGTATTTATCAGCTCTGGCTTAACAGTATACAGTACGCCATATATCCTTCAAATTAACGTGGAGCCTATCCCATCTGACAACAGGGGAGAAGCAGGGTACACCCTGGGACCGGTCGCCAGCCCCTTACAGGGCTACACAGAGACACACAACCACACCAGCTCACATTCACTCCGACTGGGCAATTTGTAAATAAATTCACCCAATTCACCCAACATGCATGTTTTTGGACAGTGGGAGATTAACACCCAAATCGAAGCAAATGTGTGTTTAAACAAGTTATAACAACTTCTTTCAGACTCATCGGAAAATCACCCTTATGTTAAATTAAATCTGTGGTTACCTGGAGGTGATTAACCCTCTATGCTATAAATTACCTTGGGATTTGTTAGTTTAAGAAGAAAAATGACACAGACAAGAGAAGTTGGGTTAGGGATAAAGTCAAGCATTATGTGTTTGCACATAGAAGGCGGCAGTGTTCACAGACAAGGTAACAGTCCACTTTTTGACTGCCTTTCCCTTAAAGGCTTTTTTAGAAACTTTTGCACACAATAAATAATTCCAAACATCTTTCTGTCCCATGAAAATGACCATACCTAAATGTTTAGTCATCCTACTGGTTGGTGTGCGCGCTGATGAATATGCTGAAAGCAAAAGTAGAGAACAGAACTGGGCTCAGCATCAGTCAGAAAAGCAGTGGCAAGCTTTGTAATATCTAATTAGTGCAATGTAATGTGGAGTTGTTTTATGTTTACAATTGTTAATATTTGTGCTGAATATTGTATTTGAGAAAAACCCCTGACAAGCACTCTGAGTCAGACAGAGTCTGACTCAAAGTGCTGAGATTTTAAATGTTTGTACAAGGACAGAAACATATTCAACAATAAAAGCATTCCTAAAGCGATAATGTCCCCCTAAATTTTACTTTATATTTTTAAAACAGTCATATTCATTCTATATTATAAGTACAGTTATAAGCTACTTGTACTTTTTTCCTTGTTTACAGTTTAAAATTAAGATTTGAAAGACTAAATGTCATTTTGCAACTTTTACTTGTTTTCCCATCTGGAGTTTCCCTAAATGTTTTGAAAACCCCTGATTTTTTTTTTTTTACAAATTCCAGAGTGATTTAAATTTGCTCAAATGGCAAGATGGCGGACTCTCACTGCAACGGACGAACAAGGTAAGGAGCCGGAGAGGGGGCTACCGGGCTACCGCACTACCGGGCAACCGGGCTACCGGGGGCCGGAGGGGGGGCTACCGGGGCTACTTCGTCCCCGGGCTCCCGCGATACCGGGGTTCGGAGCGGGGCTACTACGGGGTTACTATCGAACCGGGGTCGGGTGTCCAGGACTCCCCTTCGGGGAGACCTGGCCACCCTCCCCCGGTGGCCGTTTTCCCCGATATTCCCCGGTTTTCCCGGTATTCCCGGTTTTCCGTTTTTCGTATTTTACCGCGGTAGCGCGGTAGCCCGGTAGCCCGCCCACTTCCTTGTTTTTGTCACATGACTAAAAAGAAGTCACATGACTAAAAACAAACCAATGAGAATCTAAACTAAAGCAGATTCAACCAAATATCTTAAAGATTTAGGGGTGGGGGGGGGCACGGAGCTACCGGGATACCGGTGCTGGGGTCCGATAGGGGATGCCGAGGGCCAACGTACGTAATAATCTGAGAAAAATTATTCTTTTCCAAGGTTTTAAACTTGCACAGCCACAGAGACTGCAATTATATAGCTGTGTATATATATTTATGGGACGTGCGGTCATCCTCACAAGACAAAACATACGATGACATATTATTATTTGTCCGCCGATCTTTATGTATGACTAATTACGATAATTTTAATTGTCAAAATCGCTGAAATTGCACATTTTCTGTTGAAATACGGGCTGAAACGTGATGTGCGGCAGCAAGGAGCCGAGGTGAACCTCTGATTTCGCAATCCATCCCAAACTGGGCTGTTGGTGTCTGTCGGCGTATCGCTGCATGTCGCCAATATAATGTTTGCATATACGTGTCTATAGCCTGATTTTTCAGTCTGGCCAATGTCTCAACGCGGCGTCTACGTGTAGATGTTTATGACATTACAGGATCTAAATCACTGTATTTTGTGTTGCCTTTAAATATGTCCGACTTGAAACCACCGTGCAGCACTACGTTACACAAAAAGCATTCTGTGCCTAACTTACTTCCATTGAATGCAGCGTTTTATTATGATAATAATCACACACAGTATATGTAATTTTGAATTAGCTGATCTTTATTTGAAATAATCTGAAAGGGTATATCTTTTGTAGGATTAATTGTTTAGCTGATGTTTCAGGATAAGGGGACCTAAATAGCAACTGCACTCAGGGAACTGGCATTTGTAAGCATGCACAGATGACCGTCCACCTGTACACATGACCCTCTCCGTGGCACAAATGGGGATTTTCTCCATACTTAAAAGATGCTTTCACTCGTCGTTCGGCGTAATGAAGAAGCTGAAGGCGAAAAGCCCGGCGGAGCAGCGCTGGGTGCAGCGGCAGCTCAGAGACCCGTACGTCAAAGCTTCTCATGCGCAAAACTTTCGCTGCAGGAGCGCCTTCAAACTGCTGGAGATGGATGACGAGTTCAGGATTTTACAGCCCGGGCACAGCGTGGTGGACTGCGGGGCTGCACCCGGGGCCTGGAGCCAGGTGGCTGTCCAAAGGGTCAACTCCAGCGGGACAGGTGAGAGCCAACGTGCCCCTAAATGAAATGAAATGAAATGAAATGAAATGAAATGAAATTTATTCGAACATGATACAAATATAAAAATAAAATAGTGCACAGTAGCAAGACGTGCATCAGAAAGAAAAGAAAATACAGATTTTTAGTTTCAGTTAACATATGCTCAAAATGGGGTAGGAAGAAGTGAGAACTTATAAACTCCTACCCCTAAACACTTGAGACTAAAGTCCTACTGTCATTAAAAAAAAAATCAAAATCAAAGTGGCAGTCAGAAGTAACAGTTACTAAAATTTACATATACATTTTCCCA